GTGTTCATTCCCAGCAAATTTATAATTAAGTCTAAAATTTATGTAAACACAACCATACATACAGCAAACATAATTATATTACCTACACAAATGTAGGTTAAGTGTATATTGAAGAGATAACATGTATCCAACAATATATACATATATTAATGATGACAGAGAAAAGCATCTAAGTACAAACTGGCCAAAGCCAAAACATATTTTAACACTGACTGATTCTTCTTCCATTCTAGGAAACACAGTTTACCTACATCTATGGCACATTCATCATTTGGCTTTGCACAAGTATCAGTCAAAAAGTGATGGTATCAATATACTTGAAAAGATAGAGGTGAAAAAAAAAAAAAACAATAACCCAATCAATAAACAGGCAAAGGAACTGAACAGACACTCCACAGAAGAAGAAAAATGAATGATCAAGAAAAATATATGAAAAAAATGTTCAACATCACAAACAATTTAGAGAAATGCAAATTAAGACTACATGGAGATTTCATCTCATTCCAGTTGGAATGGAAGTTATCGAGTATATAAGTAACAATAAATATTGGCAAGGATGTGAGGCAAAAGGTACACTCATACACCGCTTGTGCTAATTGGTGCAATTCTGGAAAGCAGTATGGAGATTCCTCAGAAAACTTGGAATGGAACCACCATTTGACCCAGTTATCCCACTCCTCAGCATATACTCAAAGGATTTAAAATCAGCATACTACAGTGACACAGCTACATCAATATTCATAGCAGCTCAATTCACAATAGCTAAGCTATGGAACCAACTTAGGTGCCCTTCAATTGATGAATGGATAAAGAAAATGTGGTACATGTACACAATGGAATATTACCCAGCCATAAAGAAGTATAAAATTATTGCATTTGCTGGTAAATAAACAGAACTGGAGGCTATTCATGCTAAGTAAAATAAGCTAATCCCCAAAATACAAAGGCCAAATATTCTCTCTGATATATGGATGTTGACTCACAAAAGTCAGTGGGGAGGGAAAAGTGGAGGTTCACCAGATTGGACAGGGGGAAATAGGGGGAAGGAAGAGGGCATAGGAGTAGGAAAGATGAATAGGACATACCTTTCGTATGTTCATATATAAATACATGACCCGTGTAACTCCACATCATGTACAACCACAAGAATGGGAAATTATAATCTATATATGTATATATGTCAAAATACATTCTACCGTCATGTATAAGTAAGAACAACAAATTAAAAATTTACAAAAAAATGATAGAGGTGAAATTAAACTGTTTATGAGTTTAAAAATTAAATGAATATTTGATAATAAATTATTGATATTTCAAGTACGATGATAATTTTTAAAAGACTCCTTATCTCTGAAAAGTACATTGAATTAGCTATGAATGAAATGATGTAACCCACTTCAACATAATCCAAAATGGGAGAGCTCACAACTATTGAAGTTATGGTGGGTTCATGGAAAATTATTCTATTGTCTTTCTTGCTTTTAAATATGCTTGGGAGGCTAGGGGTATGGGCCAGCAGTACAGCACTTTCCTAGCATGTGCAAGGCCCTGAACCCAGTTCTCAGCACCATGCAAAACATATACAAGGAGAGTTTTGAGATTCTCTAAAATGAAACAATTAAATTACTTCTGACCTGAACACAAAAGACCATACTACTCTTCCAATTAAAAGGTTCTTATATATTAGGATTACCTAAATTATTTCTATTAGTAGCATTTACTGACAATGAAAAAGGGCACTGTTGCACATGAACATCTGAAGAAAATTAAAGTATAACAAAAATTTACTAATTCATTTGGGAAATCTATCCTGTATTATCATGAAATTTATAGAATAAAATCAGATCCCAGAAATTCTGATATTTTCATACCAAATTTTGAGTTCAGATTGTTTCCTATATGCGTAAGTAGGAAAATTTTTTTGTCAGACCACATATTTTGTGTGTATCCTTTGAACATGGCCACCATATTTACCACCAACTTTGATGGAGAAGGATAGCATTTACTGAGATGTATTACAAGTCTGTAATAGTTCCCCACACCAATCTAGATAGCAGACAGTCATCATTTGGGTTCAACTGAGGTATCACCTTCTCTAGGACACTTCTTTGCACTTTCCCCAAGCCAGTCTGTGTATCCTTGTAATATGATTTCATAAAATTCTGCACTCTACACTTCATAATCCTTTTTACAATTATAATTAAACACATACTTATATGATTTCAAAAATCATACATCTATCCCACCAAACTCCAAGATCTAAGAAGCCTTCTCACCACAGCACTTCTAGCCCCCAGAACCACAAACAGTAAATGCACCAATGATCAACCCTGGCTGCAGCTGACTCACCTGGAAGCTTGAAAAATACTGCCACCTGGTCTCACCTCCAGAATCTAATACAATTGGTATGGAATTGATGGGTGTCGGATTCTGGAAATCTAGGAATTCTGATGTGTAGTCAAGATTGAAAGCCTACTAAACAAGTAGACTAAAAAATTACTAGTTAAATCAACAGAGAAATTAGTATGTTAAGACAATCTTAAGTATTCCCAAAGACTAAGGTCTCTGTGTCTTATTTGCTATCATTTTCCCTTGCTACAAATGTAAAATAATTAATGATATCAATAGAAATATTGATATGGCATCAACAGAGAGATATTCGTGTTTTTTGAAATATCAAACACAAAAAAGAACAAGAATCAAAACTGGTAAGTACTCAAATCCAAGCCAAACAATTCATGACAAAATTAAGCTATAAATAAATATAGGCAACAACTGTTATCTTTCTGGGCCAGGACTGTTCTCATGTCATTTCACCTAACTCTTCTGGGACCTGATGATCACTACAACTCCTCATTTTACGTCATCTACTCAGGAGTTCAGGCCACTGACAATACATTTGCCAAGGTCACCAACAGCAGCCTTGGTGCCCAATCTAGAGGACATTTCACTCTTACTTTCCACTTCAATTTAAAAACTTCAATAACTCCCTCCTTTTGGTTTTGTGGCTGTAGGCCTTCCTTTTTCCATCTTGTCCTGATAACCAACCTGTCATCATCTCCTGTCCAGGTTTCTCTTCTACTAGCTCCTCAGGATTCCATTCTTGGTTTTCTTCTCTTTTATCTTTTTGAATGAGTGCATCAACTCCTAAGAATCATCCATGTGCAACCATACCCAAATCTCTGGCTCCTTTAAGTACAAATACCTTCTGGGTATCTCTACTTGCATGTCAAACAATTCCAAATCCACCTATCCAAATGAAAGGAGGGAAAAAATCACATTTTTCCTCTAAGTCCCTTAACTCAATAATACCATCATACTAGTAAATTACCACAATCAGATGCCTGAGAGTCATCCTTCATCCCCTCCTCCTCTTCCTCATTCTTCCAGTACCTAGTCATATCTATCTACTTTCTAAATAGCCCTGTAATCTACACACTTCACATTTCCAACACCTCCATGCTAGGTCAGATGCCAGAATTATCATACTAGCTTCTAACCAGCTTCCCTGCTTGGGGCTTATTCCCTCTCATTGATTCTGTATATGAAAGCCAGAGTCATCCTCTCTTTAAAAAAAATAAGTTTAATCATGTCTTTCACCTTTTGAAGTCTTTCAATGTCTCCCTACTGCCAAACTACTCAAAGCAGCTAACAAAGTCCATTATCTGGTGTGTCCTAATTCGAGTCTCAGTTCCTCCAATTCTAATCACTTTCTTGCTCCAGGCATACAAAATTCAGTGGCTTTCCCTTGCTCCAAACCTAGTACTCTTCCTGGAATGATCTTTAACTCTTTCTTCTTCTACTTGAAATCATCAACACAGGTAGCCTTTAGACCTCAGAGTCAATAAATTTCTTTCATATCTTATAATATTATTTCCCTGACCCCAAAACCCTAAATTAGGTTCTGTTCCTAAGTGCTATGACAGCATTAAACACTACCCCAATCTTAAAATATGACATAGTACACAGTATCCTTATAGCCAACCAGAATGTCTCTTCCATGATGTTGTAAACCTGTATGAATCAGCCCCTTGTCAGTTATACTGGCCACCCACAGTATCTGGGAGCATGGTAGACATTCAATATATTAATATTTGTTGAATGCCAGGATTATACAAATAAGTCAATAAACCTTCATGAAAACAATTTCATGCAGGTTTAACTTGTCTCTTCAAACTCACCTGAGGGCCTTTGCTCAAGTGGTTCCCTTTCTCAGGCTGGGTGGAGTCTGCCTGATAAGCCACTTCCAATTCTTAGCTAAAATGAAGCATTCCAGAGATACTTTCCCAAACCAGTCATCTAAAGCACTTTCCTCAGTTACTCCCCCACAGAATACCTTTTGTTTGCCTTTTTATCATTTGTCTCAATGTTTTTATTGTTACAGGTTTAATGACTTTTCCCTCCTGTGAATTCAATGAGGCATGGCTTGGGTCTTATTCATCACTATCTATTTAGTAATTGGAATTTGTCTGGTATGCAGTATAGATCAGCATATATCTGATGAAACAATTAGCAAGACTAACGTTTATCAAGAATTACTGTCATTTCTAGAGCATCATGCTGACTCCAATGAAATTTTAAATGTTCCTTACAACAAACTCTTGTCAATCCTGTTAACTGGTCACAAAAGCAAACATATTAAAAAAGTTTTCACCCATGGGCTGGGGATGTGGCTCAAGCGGTAGCGCGCTCGCCTGGCATGAGTGCGGCCCGGGTTCGATACTCAGCACCACATACCAACAAAGATGTTGTGTCCGCCGAGAACTAAAAATAAATAAATTTTTTGAAAAAAAAAAAAAAAAAAGTTTTCACCCTTCCCTCTGTTTCCAGCTCGTAAGTACAATGTTAAAAAGCGGAGAGGGGTTAACAATAGCAACAACAATGGGACAGGTACAGATACCAAGAAAAATAGGTAATCATTCCCTTAATTATTAAGCATTCCCAAAGAATATTAAAGTGATGTAAAGGAATAGCATATACATCAGAAAAGAAACCCTTGCCTTTCAGGTCTTTCACATAGCCTTCCTTGCAGTTGTGCATGAGCTGAAGGATCCACTTGTGCTGGGCTCCAATGCATTGCCAGGCAGGGTCACCAGGAGCATGAAGGTCAGACAGATACCTTAAAAAAAAGCAAGCCCACGGCTTTTTCTGTTATAAGTGAGTGCAAAAAGAAAATCAAGCATATTTTAAAATCAGTACCTTTTTTTTAAGAAAAACTAAAATTGTATTAATGAGTAAAGCATTTGTCAATACTATATTAAGTATCTAATTTGCAAACAAGATCAAATTTCTTTTCATGCAAGAATAACAAAACTGTAATTTTTAATTGGCTCTTTGTATAAAGATAACTAAAAAGACAAAGACAACTTGACAAAGACAAAGTGATCCTATTGACATGGTGAGGCTTTTCCTTTACATCTAATAATCTACATTTAGTTCTCAGACTATGCCTACTCTGTTTGAAATCATTACATGAAAGACCCGGGGCAAGCCAAGAACACTGGTTTAAAGAACTGCAACTGTTACAGCCACCAGATGGCAGTGTAACACAGCTTATTAAGAGCTAAAACAAGACTGCTTTCTCAACATGAAGCAATTTGGTAACAAACTAATTCATCACTGAGAAAGTGTTTCTCTAGAATATATATGGATAGTTTCTTATTTTAAAAGTTTTTAAAATATTTTATGTCTCTGTGTATAAAATACGCAAATCCATATAGACACTTTAAATATATTACAGTTAAAAAATTTCTATCAAATAGTATTCAAGATAAGGCATTCATACGTCACAAAATGTATGAATACAACAAGTTAAAAACCAATTAAATCAAATCAAAAAGCATATTCGAATAAATTTATTGTCTTAAAATTATTCTTAAATAATAGGCTATCCTTTGTCTTGTGGTTAAAGATTTTTGGTCAATGATAAATATTCATTAATAACTACAAGCTGTGACCTCTAGCCAAATCTCAATCACTCATGCCTGATGCTCCCTCCCAATTTTTTCAGTAGCCAGTACTCATTACTCAGACATCTCAATTAGCAGCTAATTAGAGGAGAAACAAATCAATTTCATAATAAGTTAGCAAAGAAGATGTTGAGAAGAAACATGACATCATATTGAGAAACTATCCACAACAACCCCAACCTCCACTAGCTATTGGATTCCTGTTTCTGAGAATGTCTAGGCATTTGATCATCTACAGAGGGCCATTTCACAGCATGGATCACACTGCACTTGACAGGCTTCCTGCCCTTCTCCTCCTGATGACTGTGGGTAGGTTTCAAACAGGCGATGTGTCAGAGTTGACAAAGACACAAGTCAATTAAAAGGAAGAATTTTACTAATATTAAGATACCACCTAAGAGCTGAGGTTGTGGCTCAGTGGTTGAGCACTTGCCAGCACGTGAGGAGCCCTGGGTTTGGTCCTCAGCACCACATAAAAATAAAACAAAACAAAATAAAGGTATTTGTCCATCTACAACTAAAAATATATATATTAAAATAAAAAGACATCACCTAAGTCTCTTTATCTGAGAATAATCTCCTAATAATCATAGGGAATTCCTTCCAAAGCTTTCAAAAACCAATCTGATTCTTCCTCTCACACAAGACTTTCCTATTTTATTATCTGTAATGCAAATATAACAAATAATATATTGTGTCTACTCTTCCCAAAGAACACACGCTTCTTTCTTGCTGGGAGTAACTGATTTCAACAAGCTTACTAAATAGGTTTGCTATGCCTCCAAATATTTCTGCAAAACTCAGATCAGTTCAGTTCAATTCAGCTTATTCCATCCTCTTCCAATAAGTTTCTTCTTTTAGTATGAAGCTTAAAACTAATAGTTTCCTTATAAAGATCTTTGTTTAGAATTATGATGTTTAAAACTACACATTAAAGAATATTTTTTATGAAGGCTTTTGAGGGAAAACATTCCAAAAATGATGGACATAGGCTTAATAATTTTCATATTTAAGAGTAAAAATTTTAAATTCTATATGCCGATTTTTACAAATTATCAGAAACAGGGTCACACTTAGATGGAAAGGAGTAAATGGAGCTTGGTTCTTATTAAAGTTAACAAGTTCTCTACCAGATCAAGACAGAATGAGAAGTAAAACTAATCATGAAGATTTACATTTGATAAAATAATGAATAAAGAGTAAGACACCACAGCAAGTAATCTGATTTTCACTTCTACCATGCATAAAATGGATCACAGAATACTAACACTCTGTTATTTTTGTTAATAATAAAGCTGTTTCCATTCCCACCTTGTGCTCTCAGTGTCTATCACCATAGTTTTTAAAACCCAACAGATACTTGATCTGGTTCTGATCTTATTTTCTACTTATTAATGGCTAAAATTTTAATTAGAAAAAAGTAATCAAATTGCTTAGTGTCTTCTCAAAGCATCAGAAATAAAATAATGATGAAAACAACTCAACCATTGTTGACATCCTTGTTGTTTTTCCTTTAAAATGAAAGGGGAAGAAAGCAGCAAAATAGGCCATCTAAAGACATCTCTTCTGACCCTACCATCTTTTAAATGATGTTCAGGAATAAAAAACCTGATCATATGAACTGGCCATTATCCATACAGACAGTAATTTACCTATAAAGAAATTTTATACTCAGTAAAGTCTCACATATTACTGCAGGCAAATTTAACATAACAAATGAACTGCTAGGTGAATCTATAGAGAAAAATCTGTAAAGTAGCAGAGGGGAACAGAGCAAGGAAGAATCGGGGCACCTGTTCCTCATCAATGTGTCCTGGACAACACACTCCACCTTACCAAAATTATTTTTTATATGTAGAAAATAAAACAATTGGATAACTAACATGTAGTTTATTTCCAGCTTTAAATTTATACAGTTCTATGAGCCAGAAAAGTCTGCTGTAGACATTCTTTCCTTAAGGAGACAACACGGAGAAAAGCCAGGATAGGCTTTGAACCAGACCAACAGTAGAAGTAATCCTACTAGTGTGTGCTGGGCAAGCTTTGCTTTCTTCACCTGTGTAACAGACACAATGCAAGTACCCTTTGCTAAGAGAGGAAACACAGAATGCACCCAGGGCAGTGCTCAGGCACAGGGTACACTTTCTGCAGTGGCAGCAACTGACTTTACTGCTCATTCTGTCCTATTCCCCAAGCCTCTCCTCACCTTCCAACTAGACAAAACTAGTGTGTACCAATGCAGTGGCTCGTGCTCCCAGTTTCCCTCATCATCAGGACAAGGTCTGAGTGTAAACTCTTGGACCCTCCACAACTGCACACACAGAAGCTTTTAGAACAGATCCTTCTCCTATGCCTGCAGAGTATTTTCAATGATCACATGATAATCACAGCCAAATGCATATATGCCTATAGTTAACTATAATGAACAGCTAGTTCCATCATGAGATACTGCTTCTTCCTGAAGACTCTTCATATCCTATGAAGTCCACCTCTTTTAATATTATTGCTATTTTTAAAAAAGTATTTCTATTTAGTAACAATATTTATCTTATTGACCATTAAAGGCTTGTAAATCAGATAGATACTCAAGGGCAAAACTTTCCAGAACTTTCTTCACTATTGAGCCATGGGACACTCCTATGGCATGAATAATTTCTCACACAGCATAAGACAGTATTATTCTCTTTAAACCATACAGAGAGCCCCTACTTCATGAACTATGGTATTCACAGGGTGTGGCACCACACCATCCCACAAAGTTAGGTAACCCACAGGAGGAAGAGGTGACTAAGCAATAGGGCTACTGTTCCTTTGCCAAACTGGCAGGATTTTCTAGCTTTAAAAAGTAAATACTATGTAACTACTCCCAATTTATTGGTATTCAAAAGAATTTTGGTGTCCTATACCAAAAACCCTAAATTTCTGCTATTTGGCTTCTCTTTTACCATTTTATCAGCAGTCTACTAATTTCCCCCAAATCAGTGTTAAGGGTTACCTGACACATCCAATACCAAAACAGATAAAGGTGATTCCTCAGAATTCTTGCAAAAGTTTTACCTTATATAGCGTTTTTGGTCATGTAAGGTTGATGGTGTCTCAAGCAATTTATCCAGAAGTAATTCTCGTAAAGCTTCTATTCGTGTTTCTACTTCAGCATAATCTATTTTTAAAAAGAATACACAAGATTCGCAGAATTAAAATTTAAAATCAAATTTCAGAAAGCAGATGGTTCATTTTGACTAAGAAGAAGTACAGGAACCTTTGGAAGTGATCAAAACACCATCTTGAGTGTGTACGTGGGCATGTATTTTTGTTAGAAATAAATGACCTATAACTTGTAAGGTCTGTGCATTTAAGTAAATATAAATTTTACCACAGAAAAGAAATAAAATTATGATTTCTGAATTCTTACATATTTCATTTTTAGTAAACCCTATAATATTTCTAATTTATGGGAGTTTAAACATGGGGCATTTTAAGCTTTTCTTATACTCTGTAAATCCAGTATTAGAAATAATTTCAAAAGATGTTGGGTTTGCTCTAAAAAAGAATTAGAATTCATATAGATTGTTCTCTCCAAAGGAAAAAAAAATCGAAATGCAGATTTATGTCTATAAAATACCTGTCTTTGCTTCTTTCTGATAAGAAAGAGTTTTTTTGTTTTTTTTTTTAAATAATATTTATTTTATTTCTTAGTTTTAGGTAGACACAGTATCTTTATTTTACGTTTATGTGGTGCTGAGGATTGAACCCAGTCCCTCATGCATGCTAGGCGAGCACTCTACCACTGAGCCACAACCCCAGCCCCAAGAAAGAGTTTTAAGAGCACTGTGACTAGCAGCAAAGAATGTCCAAGAATAACCCATCGTCACGAGTGCTCATTTTCACTGCATCTCAGGAAGAAAATCATGTTATTTTTGAAGTAATTGTTTTACATTTTAAAGAGAACACCATATAAACAAAATCTAAAATGCATGTAACATTCTTTACAGAACACATTCCTCATTCTTCCTGTAAAAGGAAAGTAGAAGATGTAGAAGTAATAAACAAATCTTACATTTCTTGAAAACTTGCACCTCCGTTTTCCCAAAGAGTGACTTGGCCTTTTCATAATCATTAATAACCACATCATAGTCACCCTTTAAAATAAAGAAACATTTTGGAGACCATCAATAAAGCATAATGAAGACATTTGGTTAATATTAAAAATGTATTAACAAACCTTTAAAACTTATGACATTTATAACTGTTAGTACACAAATATTTTCTCTACCTTTTGAATATTCCTTTCAATATTCAGAGGAAGATTGAAGAGAAACTTAAATCGCTGAAGTACATTGAGTGCATTCCTAGTAGAATCTGCCTTGTCCTTTCGACCTAACACTTCTTGAAATAACGTGTCCGCAGTATTACTTGCTCCTATTTTTAAAGGAGAAAAAGAAACTTAAATAAAAGCTAATTTGAATCACAAAATGTGTAACTGAGCACTAGAAACAAAGTCTGAGACAGCTATCGAAACTTTACAGTTAAATGCAATAAACTATTTTTTTTAAGTTAGCTATATTGGAGATCTTTTATAGTTTGCTAAAATAAAATTTCCATTTTGCCTGCTAAGTCTTTTCATATGTGAAAAATGGTACCCAATTAAAAACAACTATACTTTCCATGCCCAAATAAATTCTCCCACATGAACCTGTATTTATTTTAGTTACTCTTTTAAATGTTATTGCAATTATGGCCCTTAAGTTATATCATTACTTCAGACAAAAAAAGTAAAACAAACATACAGATGTGTGCAGATATACATGCACACTACTGAAATTCTATGGATTCAGCATCTACATATGGGGCGATAAACAAAACAAGGAAAATCATTTTCAGAAAAGTTGTTCAAAAGAAGTAATTTTAAAACTAATCCTATTTCTTAATAGAATTATCTCCTTATGTAGCAGACACAGAAAATTATATACACAATTTAAAATGACAAACTTTAACATAGTATAAATATTTCTTAAATCAGCTAATTCTTATAAAGTTATACAAGAATATTTCATAATTTTTTTCCTAAAAGTTGTCAAATTATATGGGTCACTGTAATGAAAGAGCTGCTTTATCTAAAGCAAAATTTGCAAGTACAAAAAATTGTTTAAATTTTGCAACTTGTGAATTATTTTTAATTAGCCACAAGGAAAGGGGAGAGAAAGGATAAACTGTTTTTGGCTGTTTGATCGCTGCTTGTAAAAAGTTTCTACATTATCTGGTCTAGTGACTATACTTTAAGCAAAGATGAAAAAATTACCTCAGTCTCACTGGGTGGCTTGCATGCCATATCCTCTGGTCCACACTGTGGGTGGCCTGATCGTGTTAAAAGTCGTCTTTGTAACATGATTGTTTTATCTAAATAATGTTTAAATTCTGTTGAGATTTTAAAGGCCTGATATAAAAACTTTGTTTGGTCAAGATAACTGTTTTCACCACATGCTATTTAATGTAGACTGCTAAATTTCTACTATAAGATGAAGAAAAATACATTTTCTTCTTGCCACCAAACCACATAATAGAGGCTAAATGAATATCTGAAATCTGATTAGGGTTAAAACTTTCTTTCTTCAAGGAAAATTATTCTAAAGTATTTGCTTATCATTCTAAAAATATAAACACGAGTTGAGGTCTCATAAATGAATAGATATCCAAGTGGAAATTAATCTTTTTTAAAAGGTTACTTACTTATATGTGAAGTTTAGACATTAAGTAATTAAGCTTCTTTTCTGTTCAATGAAAATGAAAGAATTTGGAACAAACAAGGTAAAGAGTTCAAAATTGGATTTTTCTCATCTTATTTTTAAAGTAATAAAATATTAGCAACTAATAATTAATTTTAATCCGTAAAAAATATGAGAACAAGAATATGAAGAAAAGCTACTTGTAATAAAATAAAATTAAAATATTGTACACAGAAAAGTTTATAGACAGAAATTCTAAACTATAAAATTATAATTTATATGGAAATATATGCATTTATATGAAGGATTTTAATTTGTATGATACTAAGAAATTATATAGATAACTTTTCAATAAATATTATTCTGCTGTGAACTTTACTGCATTAACAATAAAACAGTAGTTCATGACTCTAATAACTAAATGATACATCCAGTAACAAAATACAGGAGAACAGTGAAATCAAGATTTGTACAGCAGATAAAAATCACCAGCAGGTCACAAAATGCACTGTCTTTCTTCCCTAGGGCTACTAATAAGAAAACAAAACTACTACACAAAAAGGGCACTGGGGCTGGGGTTATGGCTCAGTGGCAGAGTACTCACCTACCATGCATGAGGCACTGAGTTCAATCCTCAGCACCACATAAATATAAAATAAATATATTGTGTCTACCTAAACTAAAAAATAAATATTTTTAAAGGGGGAGGGATCTTCATCTTTGGGCTGTTGTTACAGATAAGACCATCAGTAGGACATCCACAGACATCCAATAAATATCCCCCATGTATGCTGACCCACACACACCTCACACCTCACTCCACGTTCTCACACCAAGAATACCTAATTTTAAGGCAGGGATTTAAGTATCCAGTGTGTGACCACAAAACAAAACTTAACAGAATCGGATGGTCGTGAGAACCATGACTTTGGCCTTACAAATCAAAGAAGAAGCTTTGATCCTAGACCTGAAAAGATCTTTCTCCTCACCCAGAGATGATGTCAACACCAGCTAACTTGAACTGTAACCATCACTATCTCAGTTACACACAATTCCCAAGAATTAATAGCAATGCTGTTGCAACAACATGCCAAATGCCACAATTATGGTTGGGTTCATGGAACAGTAAAAATTTTCCACAGAGTAACATGAAAAGAAAAGTCACTTTCCCACTGTATACTAACCTCATACTCAGACCTACCAACTGATCTATCCATAATACACACACACAAAAAAAATATTTAATTGTCCCAGGAACTCCTGTAATCTAGAAAATCTAGTCCTGTAATTCCAAGGTGTCTTGAAATTTCAAGCATGTTACTTTCTCTTATTTCAAAGTGACCTTATTAGTCCCTTTCTTGGTCCAGACACTTGAGACAGTAGATCTTAAAAGTGATTTTTAATCTGTGCTTTCCCATTCCTGGGACTTGCGAGGGTCGGAGAAGGATGGAAGGAGTGCCCCCACCACAGTACAATCTATCCCAGGAATAGGAAAAACAAATGATACTAAAAAATTAAACTTTAGGATACTCAGGAAGATTAAGGTAACCCTAAAACGTATGTTTGCATTTATAGCAAAATTAGGACTACAGAGAGAGACCTAACAACTTGCTTTAGGTATCTCATTTTAACAGATTCTGGAAAATCACTAGATAGCAGCTGCCTAACATAATGATATTACCCAAACCACATTGTATACAATAGTTAATGCATGTTTACAACACCATGTTACAGCCACTACAGCTCTAAAAAAAGGACACACAACTAGAATCCTGGGGATGAGTTTCATACACTCTCAAGAGCCAAATAGTCACAGCTCTCCCCAACTTCTTTTAAGTCAAGTTTGGGAAATGCTAAAATTGAGGTTGGTTTTCTTTTTCTTTTTTAAATGTCACTTGTTAAATATTTACCACTCAACCACTAAGAAGACATGTTTCTTTTTTACAAACTTGACTCTTACAGATATCCCTTAATTTCCTAACAACATGACCTGGTTATTTTAATTTTATACAAAGTTCTTCAATTAAATTATTCAATCATATCACTCTTTCTGTATGCTGGTGACTCACAAATCTATATCTCAAAATGTGTCTGTGAACTTAAGACTAATCTTTAAAAATATTTTCACTAGACATATAATAATGACAGCTAATCACTGAGAATTTGCTCTATGCTAGGTGCTAATCTTAACTTTACATGTACTTTACATTAAACTTGTATGCCCCTCCAAGACAGGCACTATTTTTACCCCTATTTTAAAGTAGAGGTAACTGACATAATTTCTTCCACTTGTTCCATGTGATACAGTGGTAAGAGCTACGAAGATACTCACTGGTATGACCCTTAGAATCTGAGACTTTTATGTTATAAATTTATGTTATAAATTGAATTCAATTTTTTTCCTCTCTACTTTCCTTCTCATGGCCCAAACCTCCCCTCCTTCCTCCAGAAGGCCAGAAAACAAGCCATCACTGACCACTTCCTTTTTATTACCTCCTACCTCAAACCAATGACCAAATACCGCCATCCTTATCTCTTTAATGTTTCTTCACTGTTGTTGGCTCTACTTTACCCACCTTTTAGGTTGGAAGTCCTCATAAGGTCCCCCTTACATTACTGCTATGCACTCTATTGGGATTCTCTTCCTGCCTCCAGTGCAGCTCTCTCTAAATTACTCCCTCTACAGATGGCAAAGTGCTCTTTTAAAAATCTCATCACATCATTCCCTTATTAAATTCCTTGAATGACTCATCATTAGTCTTTAGGATAAAGACAAACTCCACACTAAGGCATAAAGAGATTGTGTTGAGCAAGCCCCATCTCTCCCATAGCCACCACACATTAGCCATTACAGATCCAGCATCCCATCTCCTTTCTGAAGTCATTATCTTCTCCTTGATGCTGCTAACCCTTCCAGGATCTGTAACCATCTCTGCTGAGCTTCCCACTCATCAGCCTTTGCTTATTTCCTGCTTCCTTTTAAGATGCACATGATCATCCTGATATTCCTCCTACTCCACTGTACATATCCCTCCCTTCATCCCTACCTCAGTGCTGGGGAAAGAACCCAGGGCCCTCCACATTTAACTTAAATTTTCTATGACATCTAAAAATGTTTGTTTAAACATTAAAACTTACATACCACTGATTAAAATGAATAGGAAAAAATAAAAATTGTAAAACTAATTTCTTATTAGTACCCAGTTTCAAATATTAGAAACAATGAAAATTCAAGTGTTTTCTTTTTTTTTAGAACTTAAAAGAGTTCTTGCTTTTTTACTTTGACAAATTATCTTCTTTCCTTTGCACTTTGTAATATCTCCCTGAGAGTGCTTTTAAGTATCACTTCACTTGGGGCATTTCCTTTTCTTCACAAGCTCTTCTCTTAGTTATACTAGGAAGATCACCTTCACTGAATCCCTCCAAAGACACATCTCCAGTCTTGAACAGCAGCAAGGCCATTCCCACTGTCACCATCTTCCATAACTCCATTTACGTTGGATTTAAATTTAACATACAGTATCATCACGTTTTGTTGTTTGATACATTTTCATCTTATGGACTGATCACACAGTTACAGTGAATACATGATAGTAACGGAAATCTGAACTGTGTTGTTGGGTGTTGGGTGTTTATTTAACTGATACTTGGGCACACCAAAACCTAGCAATTATATCCAGAAATCTGGCTCCAAACTTATGCATTAATATTATAGTTCCTAGCCTTTTCACTTGTATGAATTTATATGAATTTATGTAGCTAATTTAATTTTCTGTGCTTCAATATTTTCATCAATAAAATGGAGAATTGGGCACAGCAGTGCACACCTGGAATCCCAGCAACGCAAGAGGTTTAAACAAGAGAATTAGAAGCTAGCTTCTGCTACTTAGCAACACCCTGTCTCAAAAAGGAAAAAAATAAAAAATAAATGACTGGAGATGTAGGTAGAGTGCCCCTCCAGGGTTGAAATCCCAGTACTGCAAAAAATAAAATAAAGTAAAACAAAATAAGACTATAGGGATGGCTGGAGAAGGTGGGTCACTGGGATGTGCCCTAGAAGGGTTCATCTTTCCTGTGGTTCCTCTCCCCTCTCCTTCCCTCTTTCTGCTTCTTGACCCCACCATGAGCTAAGTAGCTTTCTTCCACTGAGCCTTTTTTCCATAATGTGCTACCTCACCTTGGGCCCAGAGCAATGGAGCTTAGAGCAATGTCTAAGGACTAAAACTTCTAAAACTGTGAGTCAAATAAACTTTTCCTACTCTAAGTGTTGCTGCCAGGTGATTTGGTCACAGTGATGAAAGCTAACTAAAACAGCTATTATTATCATAACCACTACAAATACTCAGACTATACTATCTATATCTGCACTGTCTAATCCAGCAGCTACTAGCCATCTGAGGCTACTGGGTGTGGTGTTACACAGCTGTAATCTCAAAGACTCAGGAGACTGAGTCCAGACCTGGCAACTTTGTGAGACCCTCACACAAAAAATAAAAAGGTCTGAGAGTGAAGTTCAGTGGTAGAGCCACTGGTTTCAATCCCCAGTACAAGACTTAATTGGTGCTATAGTCTGGATCTTGAATGGTCCCTAAAAACCCATATTCTAAAGAATTGGTCACTTACCTATGGTGCTACTAGGAGATGGTGGAACCTTTAGGAAGTTGGGCCTAGTGAGAGGAAGTTAGGTAATTATAAGTGTGCCCCTGAGGGGATATGGAGACCCTGGACCCTTCCTCTCTCTTCGCAGTTATCATGAGGTGAGTAGCTTTGCTTCATCAGCACTCCCTGCCTAACCACAGGCCCCCCCAAAAATGGAGACAATTGACCATGCATTGAAACCATGAGTCAAAATAAACCTTTCCTCCTTTTAAGTTGATTTTCTCAGACATTTTGTCATAATGATGGGGAAATCTAACACTGCTAAATTAACTAAAATTAAATAAAAGTTAAAAATTCAGGGTTGGAGATATAATTTAGTCGTACAGTGCATACCTTGCATTTAACAAGGTCCTGGGTTCATCCCCAGAGCTTGGGGAGAATAGACTCAATTCCTCAGTTATTCAAGCCACATCAGAAGTTTTCAATAACTATGTTTCATCATTGTAGAAGTCCTATTGGACAGTACTATTTTATAGTTTTACACTTTTGGAAGAGGTAAAAAACATAGAGTTAGATTAAGTGGCTTCCCGCCCACCCCCCCCCGCCTGCCCTCCAGGTACTGAGGACTAAACCTAGAGGTGCTTCACCACTGAGCTATCTCCCCATTCCTTTCCATTTTTTATTTTCAGACAGGGTCTCACTAAGTTGCTCAGTCACCCAAGTCACTGGGATTATAGGCACATAGTACAATGCCCAGCAGATAAATGAATTTGATGTAAACAAATAAAAATTCATCACTGGCTTGATATCAAGGAAAAAATTTTTTTAAGTTCAGGCAAATATGAAAAGCATATGTCAATGAAAACCAAAAACAATTCCAATAAAAGTTGTCAACATTGGGGCTGAGGTTGTGGCACAGCGGTAGAGCACTTGCCTCACACGTGTGAAGCATTGGGTTCGATCCTCAGCACCACATAAAAATAAATAAACAAAATAAAGGTATTGTGTCCATCTACAACTGAAAAATATATTTTTTAAAAAGTTTTCAACATTGAAAAAAGGCATTAAAAATTTGAAAAAGAAGTTTCATTTAAGTTAGCAATTCTGAAATGTAAGATAAAAGCATTAGTGATTATTTAAGCAAACTAAACAGTAGTCATACTCATTTATTCCTTCCTTATCCATTTATTCCTTTTGTCCTCTTAGAAAGAAATTAAATGTTCAATGGTACTTGTATAATTATTTTTCTTGATCTCAGTTCTCTGTTTTCATTGTTTTTACAGTACTTAAATCCTTGGCCATCTAGAATATTCCCGTCTGCACCGAAAACTCTCTTACAATATTAGAGCCACAGCTCTTTGGGCTTCATCTTCTAAGCAGGCTTAGCCCAGGACTTTACATAGCTAATGTGAAATAAATGTTTGTTATGCTGACCTGAATTAGCAAAACCTTATACTGAGATAGCAAACATAAACATCACTTTGATAAAGAATGTTTCTGGGAAAAAGGAAATTATTATAAAGGACTATATTTTAAGGAATATTTTTTCTTTAAAAATCCCTGAGGATCTTATAAAGAAGGGACTATTTATGTCAGTCAAACCTAACTTTATCCCAAAAGAGCAAACTTCAGTAGAATTCATGTGACACATTTTTAGAAAAGGTTCACAGTTTCAAAAGAATAGAATGAAACAACTTCCCTTACAACTTCTATACTAGAATTCCCAAGGGAAGATTGTTTCCAAACTATACCTTAACAGAAGAAAATTGTTACCACACATTGTTAAGCCTAACAAAAGTTAACAAGTACCTCTTCTACTGTCACAATGCTTTAGTTAGTGTCAGCTATACTTTTAAATGCTAGTGATCTCATTTTTTTTTTTTTTTTTTTTTTGTGGGGCCAGGGATTGAACCCAGGGTCTTATGCATTCTAAGCAAATACTCTACCAACTGAACTATATTTCCAGCCCCGAGATCTCATTTTTTTGTTTGTTTGTTTTTGTATAATGTCATGGTTTGATGACAACTTCTATAGTGCAAATAATATCCCTGAGGGCTGGGGATGTGGCTCAAGCGGTAGCGCGCTCTCCTGCATGCGGCCCGGGTTCGATCCTCAGCACAACATATAAACAAAGATGTTGTATCCACCGAAAACTAAAAAAATAAATATTAAAATTCTCTCTCTCTCTCTCTCTCTCTTAAAAAATAAATAAATAATAATATCCCTGAGTATAAAACATCCTTCCAAAACCTTAAAATGTCTGACTGCATTATTTATTTGGGTAGTATTCAAAATACACTTATTTTAACAAAATCGGTGACTTCATTCTCAGACACAAAAGCAAGGCAAAATCTAGGACAAAAAAATAATAGCAATAATAATCAGAGAAGATTTTTAAGTGCTGTCAATTCACAGATTTAGAATGAAATTCAAGTATTCAATTTCTACTACCAAAGAAAGCAGACATTAAATTAACCCCCATTCCCAACTCCTGGAAATACTAAGGACTAGACCCAGGGGCACTTTTACCACCAAACTATATAGTAGCCCTTTTTATTTGGAGTCAGGGTCTTATTAAATTCCAAAAGCCAGCCTCAGATATGTAATCCTCCTGCCTTACGCTCCTGATTAGCTGGGCTTACAGGCAAGAACCACCACACCCAGTAAAACTTTTTTTTCAAAAAAATACTTTCTTATTAAGAATTCCCCAGGTTTGTGAACAGATTTTTACATAAAGGATCTACAAATTCTGCTCATGAGAATAAATTAATCTAAAAGGACAGAGTTAGCTTCATATCACAGTCCTGTGGTCATAGAATCTTTAAAGATCCAAAGTAAGGTTTCTTAATTTTTTGACCCATTTTTTATATGGAAATCATATACTATATTATATTTAAAAGCAAGGAGATTCCTGTGCAAATTATCACTTCATATCAAATGATAACTACATGTGTGAAACAGGACAACAAAATTTTAAGCCACTAATAACATAACAAGGACTAATTCATCTGATGAGCTTCTTCTAAATCAGTAGGATAAGTAGCTGGAGCCCAGGATGTCATAAAAAGGAGAAAAGAGGAGGTGGACAGGATACAAATTTTTGCATATACCATTCTCTCCAGGATCTACAGTTCTTACAAAATATCTTAGAGTTAGATTCACTCTTAAACAGACAGCTGCCCAAATTCCTTTTAAAGAAATGAAAGGTGTAAACTAGCAATCCTTAAGCATCTGTTGTTCTTATAGGTAAGGTTATCTGTGTTAAACACTGGCAAATGCTTGAAGATACGTTTTCAGGTTTTGGGTCAATGACAATTCCAGCTACTGCTTAGTGCTTTTCACTCTAATCTGTCTTAAGGTAGCAAATTTTATTTCTTAAGAAGTAAAATGGCTTGTTTTCAAATTATAATTTCTCATAAATAAAAACAAAAACAGGACATTTGTTTTTAATGTTGCTATTTCCCCTTTATGTTTATTAAATCACTACTATTTAGAAATGAATATTGAAGTGCAACTTACCACGTTGTCCTGTGAAACCAGGTCCAAGAACTATATTAAAGCTTGTTATAAAGCCCATAAATAGTTTCAGGTCATAGAACAAAACTTACTGTTCAGAACATTCTCCAGTTTCTGCGTCATGGATCCTTCTACTTTTTCCGTTCCATCAGCCTCTAATTTTTGATGGATGGCTAGAAAAAGAAGAAAAAAATCTAGTTAAAATGTAGGCCATTTTAATGGGTAGAAAGATATTATATCAAGATGACATTTTTAAACAGGCTTTAAAAATGGTCATATTATTTTCACTGCTGGGAAGGAGCACAAACATGCAATACTTTGCAAAGTACCCAACAGACACCATCTAAGTTATTCATAGTTTAACATTATTAAAATAGTACATAATACACATATTCAATCATCTGATCTTCAAAACTGTGTGGTAAAAATAGTTGAATGAAAACAGAAAAGGAAAAAAAAAAAGAAAAGTGAGACCTTGGGCATCCTGAATCTTATATTAATATCTTTGATATTTGGCCAAGGGAAAGTCATTTTTATTTCTGTTTCACCATTTGCAAAACAGAAATGCTACTATTTGAAGTCTAAAAGCCACAGAAAAAGTTAATTTCAGCCTTGGAATACAACATGGCAAAATATATATTTTTCTATGCACAATAAATCCACCTGTAGGTTCCAAAGAAGTTTCTAGCAACATCTACCAAATATGTCAACTCTGGATGTAAAAATTACATGGGAGTTTTGTTTGATTTTATTGATTTATGTCTCTCTGATTATGATAAAGACCATCGGGAAATCACTTTATAAAATATTTAGCTATTAACTACTGAAGAAGTAAGGTTTTAAACATAGTAAATCAGGCTTATATAGGTGAAGAACTAAGAAATATTTCAAAACAAGTGTAATTTCATATTCAAAATTGTGATAACAAAATATTGTAGAATAGCACAGCAAACATTGAGCCTTGACTGTAAGCTAATCACTATAAATTTCTAACCTGTTTTTTCATCTTGTAAGAAGCCAAAGATGTATGTTTTAACATAATTTCTATTTTACAGATAGGAAAAAACACAGATTCATGAAATTAAACATCTTGATCAAGGTCACAAAGCCAAACTCATAAAACGAGAACTCAGACAGTCTTAAATCTTAAAATCTTGCCCTACACTCCCCTGCCCAACAGGCCACTTAGATTGTCTCAGCTTCTGTTTTCACGTTTGTAAAATGAAAACAATAAACTGACTATGTTACTTGGGAAATGCATTCAGTTCAAATACAAGAGTCTCAATTCCTCAAAATAATAGCTGCTAAAACATTTAAGATTTCTACTCTTACATAATTTGCTATAGTGAAATCCAAATACATCTAATTCCACTGTTTTTCAGTTAGGATACTAAAATGAACATCATTTAAATATTAGCTATTCTCTGACATGCAAATAAGAGTAAATTTAAAACTCTTCCTTAAAAGGAATTTTTCAGGTTCTGCTTTAACCCTCTAATCATAGATGGCAGATTTATGCTGGAAAAAAAAATCCACAAACAAAATAGTCTGCATATACAAATGTGTGTGTTATATTTCATTTATGAGCCCTAAACAATTCAATGTATTTCCTCTGACTAATTGGTCAGAAAATTCTGAGTCAGATTCAGTGCCCAAATGGTCTATGAACACATTCTCAACACCTGATAACATCTATTTCTCGGCTTCTGTTTTGTTTTTTTGTTTTGTTTTTTTTTTTTTGTTTTGGTGAGGCGTGGCTAGGTACTGGGGATTGAACCTAGGAGTGCTTAACCACTGAGCCATATACCCAGACCTTTCTAATTTTTGAAACAAAGTCTCCCTAAGTTGCTAGGGCTTCACTAAGTTGCTGAGGCTGACTTTGAACTTGTGATCCTCCTGCTTCATCTCTGCTTCTCTTAGTTACTTTTTAATTCTAATCTTATTCTTTTTAATACTTTTTTCTTATAAAGCCACCTCAAATTTTGTTTGAATTCTAAAATAAACAGACTGCTCCTCTGTTGAAGTACATTTATAGAAAAAGAAGTACATTTAGAAAAACAATTAGCCACTGTTTTTTAATTGTCTTGTTGGATTCAGAAGTGAAGAGAAAGTAATGTCTCTAATGTTTCAAACTTGGATTATATGGTAAAAGTGTCACAAAATGTTTCCATATGTCAAAGCTTATATTTCAGCTTGACTTGTAAAGTAAAAATGAAAAGAACTTGCTTCCCTATCTTTAAGGAGACAAACTATATACCTAATTATTAAAGAGTTAAACTAGAAAGACTTCCATGCTCTATGTTAGCAAATCTACTCATGCTATTTAAAAGCCACTGTGGTTTTCTGACAATCCTGGTTTTAAAAGACCATTTGGCACATAATAAGGAGGCACTGCATGTGGTTTGTCCTGGGCAATAAGACATTACAGCTTAGCCCTGCTTTGAATGTTATTTTCTAAGTCAGAATTAGCATTAAAGAAAATCATGCAGTCACATTTTCTGATGCTGACATAACACATTACTGATCAGCAGGTCAAGATGAGGTGACCCTGGTTCTACAGCTCAGTTTACAGCCCTTTTTTGCTGACAAAGCAACTTCCTCCCACCCATCTCCACCACAGCAGAGCCACTGTCAAGCTGTCAGCCAAGCATGAGGACTGAGAGACACTAAGATCTGATAAAGGCAATCCGATTTTCCAGAAAATTAAACCAAATAACCCAATGTCTGGTTCACTTGACCTTTTATTTTCTCAGAAAACATTTTTAAATAAAATAATTCAATAAGCAAGTTGGTACATGATCACAGGTTTGTTATTGTTTCTAATCTATTAAAACTTAAATATGTGAGACAGTTGAACATCGTAAGTTTTTATTTGGGAAACCAAAAAAATGGTAGGTATAAAAATACTATTCAAAGAAAAATCAGGGTTATACAAAGATTGCCTACTGATTCACTGAAATTAGTTAATCATTTTATTTAACTTGAATAAAGGATGGATTTGAAACTTGTAATTTAAATCAAAATTTTTTCACAATATCTGTTCTTATATTTATATAAATACCAGTATTCAGTGAGGCACTAGGAATAATGTGTATATGGGCAATATCTGTAAGAATCCAGGTATGCATCATAGTTCTATATATACTCTAGTTAGATAGCAAATTTATATCATGAATTCATCATCACTGTCTTTTTTTTTCTTTTCATTTTCTTTCTTTTCTTTTTTTCCTTAACAATTCTAGGGGTGGGGAAAAAAGCCAAATTTAGCTCCTGGACCTTATAAAGAGAGGTTGTTGCCTAATTTGGCTAGTATGTCAGCTCTGAGGGGATTATACTTACTAAAGAGAAGATAAGAAAGGGTCACAAACTATGCATTATAAATTTAAATTCATGAACAGTTTCTCAAAGATTTAGTTTTTACTTATTCCACTGTATTTCAACACAGAAATCTATGTTAACGGATTGCTGCTCAGGGTGGCACTAATGGAAAGTCATATGTACTTTGAGAGAATCTTTGTAGGAGGTTCTTGGGTCATTGGGGGTGTACCCATGAAGGGGACTGTGGGACTCTGGTACTTTCTTTTCCTTCTTTGCTTTCTGAGGTGAGCAGTTTGCTCCACCACACACTCCCACTATCATGTGCCGTTTTGTTAGAGGTCCAAAGCTATGCCCCCCTCCTCTTCTTGGACTGGAACATCCAGAACCTAGATCTAAAACTTTTCTTCCTTAAATGTTAATTATCTCAGATATTTTGTTATAGTGGTGGAAAGCTAACACAGAGTGGCTAAATCATACATAAATTATATTTAAATTAAGTAACCTATGATTCCTTTCCTTCTTCATTATACTAAAGAAAAACAATAAATAATAACTTCAACTACTATCTAGAAGACTAACAGAAATGACTCATTTAGAAATCTGGGTCCTAGAAAACCATATGTGCCTAGATCATCTTTGAACATCAATAGACACTAACAATAGAATGGTCTTTTTCTTCCTTCCTTTTTTTTCTTAATTAAAGGCTAAACAAATATATCTTCTAAGCATAATAATTGAAATAAAAACAGAAAATTTCCCTACATATTAAAGAATTGTGTTGGCTAAGGATTTCTTCTAATACTAAAAATCAACAGATCTTCACAAAATTATTCTTATACAGCACAAACGTTATTAATGAATAAAGGCAACAGACATTCAAGAATTCAAAAGATATACCACAAAAGATATACCCCACTGCTCTTGTCTTATTCAAAGACAAGAAAGTTGAAATATAAAAGGACTGGTGATAAACATTAAGAGCAATTACATTTACATGTATACAGTAAATTGTATATAACTGTGGCAAAATTAAATGTAAAAGAAAAATATATATAAACAACATTGAAATGAAAAAGAAAAACTAAAATAAGAAACCAAATCTATAACTTCAACTTATATTAAAACAGAAAAAAAGCACAGGAAATAAAGTTATGCTAAACTGTTGTCACATGCAATAGAAATCAAGATAATTCTATAACAGAATTTAAAAACACTTTTCCCAATCTGTAAACAATACAATTTATATAGGAAATATAAAAATGAAGAACAAAAAGCAATAATAGAACATGATAACCACAGGATACAATTTTCAGTTATGATAAATGGCTCAAATTCTGTTAAAAGGCAAAAGTTCTCAGAATTCTATTTAAAAAATAAAAACCCTGCCTCATGCTGCTCACAAGACACATTCCCAAACCAAACTTCTGAAAGTTTACAAAGACTACTATAGATAGTTCTGGCATGCCGTTCAATGGTGGAGTACACTTTGATGTACAAGGCCCTGGGTTCCATCCCTAGCACTGCTTTAAGAAAAAAAAAAAAAAAGATAATATTTCAAGCAAATGCTTTCAATTCAGCAAAGAATTTAATCTTGCCCCTTCCTCAAAAAAAACTCTGGCTTTTCCCCTCAGTTACTGGGAGGTAATCTTGAAGTTCTTGGAATGTTCTACCTGATAAAAATTGTCTGTTTACCTAGAATATTTGGGTCATAGCAGATAATCTAACAATGCAATTTATGGTGAGGGCTTTGAATCACTCAGTATCACCTTGACCTTTCAGGGGCCTGGAGACTGAGATCAGCACAATGGTCACTGATCCTATCTGTGTGAAGAAGACTCAATATAGACAGGAAATGGCTTCCTGACTGGCTGTACCCCATGTCTTTTTCACATATTACACCCAGGAAAATCAGTGTTGTACATGATTCCAATAAGAGATAAAAAGTGAAAGTACCCCACATGAAACTTCCTAGATCCTGCCCCATGGGACTTCCTTTGGCTAACTATGATCTGTCTCTTTTCCTAATAATAAACCATAAATGTGAGTGCATCAGCTTTCAGAGAGTCCTGTGAGTTCTTACAATATATTACCAAACCTGAAAGTGACCCTAGGCACTGTCCTTCTCTTTGATGTTGTTATTGTACTACTATAGTATTAATAAAGAGACAATTAACCATCAAAAATTACAAAAGAAACAGACTTCAAATACAAAGAAAAACTGATAGTCAGAATTAAAGAAGGATATTTGTCTGTTGCGTTTATTATAAATAACCAAGCTTTAGACAATGCAATTAATCAGGCAATGGTAACATATCAGTGTGCCCTGAAGAGAACATGGCCCCTGCTTCTTTTGGTTTCTGTTTTTGTTTTTTCTAGTACTGGGATAAAACCAGAGCCTCATACTTAGGCAAGCACTCTACTACTTAGTTACATTCCCGGTATATCTTCTCTTTAGCAGAGAAATTGACACAGATTAAGAAATATGTCCTTTGTTAGAAACTAGCTTTAAAAACAAAACAAAACAGAATTTTCTACAAACTATGACATCTAATGAGAAAATTAAAATTACAAATTTTAAAAAACACCAAAAAGGTATCAGTGACTAAAGAATTGACATTTTAGGGCTGAGGCTGTAGCTCAGTGGTAAAGTACTTGCCTCGAATGTGTGAGGCACTGGGTTCAATCCTCAGCACCACATAAAAATAAAAAAGATACTGTGTGTTCATCTACAACTAAATAAATATTTTAAAAAGAAAAAAGAATTGACTTTTTATAAAAGTAGAATATACAAATGAACTGAACAGATTATGAAAAGGGACTATAACATGAATTTTAAATGATTCACTAATTATAATGCAACGCTGAAAAACATGAACATTTTCCTGAAACATAGAATTTCTGGGGAAAATCAAACCAAAATAAACAAAACACAGAAAGGAGAAAATTTTTTAAAAAATTTTTAATATATGTATGTATATCTCTGTGTGTGTGTGTGTGTGTGTGTGTGTGTGTGTGAGGACTGGGGTGTAATTCTGTGGCAGAGCAATTGCCATGTACAAAGCCATGGGTTTAACCTACACACTACCAAAAATTAAAAAAGTATATAACATATATCAACGGCTGGTGCCTAATGCCCCCCCCGACACACACACACACAAGCTACTGATTCACTGAGGTGTCCACAGAAGGATTTCTGGTATAGTGGGATAGGAAGCACACAGTACTATCCATGGCCAAAAATGTTGAAATCGAATCTTATCTAATGTCCAAACAATGCAACAGAGTTAAATGACAAAACAGGGAAGCACTCAGGTCCACTTCAGTGTGTGGTATCCTAAAGGAAAAATGACCTGTACATTCAATGGCATGGGGCGGGGGGCGGGGCGGGGGGAGAGGCGGGGGGAGAGGCAGGAAAGGTGATGGTACTGTTGCAGTTTTAAAAAGGGATTTAGGAAGGGGCTGGGACTGTGGCTCACAGGTAGAGCACTTGCCTCGCACAGGCAAGGCCCTGGGTTCAATCCTCAGCACCACATAAAAATAAATAAACAAAATAAAATGTATTTAAAAAAAAAAAAGGCTTAGGAAATTTAAAATAAAATGAAATGCCTAAATTTTATTTGTATCTTGATTTGAACATATTAACTATACAAAGGAATTTTGGGGGTAATGAGACATCTGAATATGAACTGAGAATGAGTCAATATTCAAGACTGCTAATTTTGTTAGCTGTTATAATGGTATTGTGGTATTTATGTATATAAATGTCCTTATATGGGGGAATTCATACTAAGGCTTATAGCAGAGAAACATCACACTGCTTGAAATTTGCTTTTAAAACCATCAACAAATGCAAACAAACCAACCTCAAAAACTGATAAAGCTAGTATGGAAAAAAAAATTCATAACTGTAAAATCTAGGTGTAGGTACATAGGGGTTGATTATATTATCACCTCTACTTTCAGCATTTTTTAAAATTTTCATAGTATCAAAGCAAAACAAATTACCTGAGCACTTTTATGTATCAGCTCTCAAATTTCAAACAATTAATTCTTCATGTTCATACTTAGCCCAATACAGATACATCAACATGTACGGATCCATATGATTATATATAACATAACCCTAAAACGTGACCAAAAAAGCTTTTTAAAAACTACAGATCAATTTCACCTAAAACTTTCATTGGAAAAAGTAATGAAAGGCTACAAATAAATTAAATGCTATGGAAAAGAGTCACACAGAGGAATGGCAGGTTTGATTTGAAGAACAAAAAAGATTTCTAGTATATACAACTTTACAAACAATACCCAATTTTGTCATATACACTTGTTTAAGCTAAGGTAAAAAAGTTCAAAAGAAAAACATCAAAGTGTTATTATCTTTACATTGGAAGTAGTTCTTACTATTTAATATGTTTAAATGTTTTCTATAAAATATTTCTTTTATATCAAAATGTAAAAAAGCTAGATATACTTGGATATAGCTACAGTTTTTAAATTTATTATTATAATTATTTTCTATATGTCATAAAGTTATTTGCTTATTAGTAGTTGGTCAGCATTATCTTTGCTGAATTTTAAGTTGCTAACATATTTCTAAGGCAAATTTCTAAAAAATGAGACTATGAAAATTTAATGTACCAAATAAAACTTCTTTTAATCTACCAAGAATGAAACCATTAATAAAAAGAAAACCATAAGGAAATATGTGTATAAAGGTTTTTTAAGAGTGAAAGAAAGTAAAACATTTCTTTGCTAAGTGAAATTAAATTAATTACAATAATTTATGGAAATCATTTATGTAGTAACTGAGCAAATGACTACATTTACTTGATAACATAAAACTGATAACTAAGAAAAAGCAGTAACAGGCACAAAAAAAGAAAGGTAAAACATTTAAGAAATAGGGCACAGGATGTATCCAAGAAGTACACCTCGTTGCCCTATTCACTTTTAGCCCTTCAAAATCCTAACCTCTACCTGCATTCACATTTTAGCCCTTCAAAATCCTAATCTCTACCTGCAAGAAAGAGGCTGCATCAAATATTTATTTAATGAGGAAGGGGTTTTAAAAATAATAAAATTAATTTGATAACAAATCAATTTTAAAATTTATCTTTGTTGAAGAAGGTATAGTCCTGTAATACACAATTAGAATTACTGATACTTAGATACCTAGATATAAGTACCTTCACTTTTAAAAAGATTCAGGTTAACTTTTATTAATATACTTTATATTTCACTCGATAGACAATAATTAAGTTTTATTAAATAAAGGTAGTTAAAAAGAACCTGCCCTTCATCTTACATTGAAATGTTTAATCCCATATTTCTCCTTAATGCAACTTTCCTCACATATGAAGATGATGGCAGATAATGGACATCTAACTTGATGTATGATCATTGGGGGTTGGTGGTATGATGGCTAAAACAATGCATTATCATAAGTCTTTTCCAAATTGAACACACAATGGTTCTATCATATGTACAGGATTGGGCACATGTGTAAGATACTGATGGCTGCAAAAAGACTTTAAGAATTCTAGAATTTTACCCATTGGGATTTAATTTCTTATCAGCCCCAAAGATTAGTCATCATAGAGAGGTAAAGGAGTCTCCCATTTCACACATGTAAGATGGGTCAACAAAGGCTCAGAGACAAATATTTAAAGTACCAGGCCTTCAAAGAGATTCCAGCCTAGTCTGCAACAAATATTTATGGTACATTTTAGATCTCTACTTTTATAAATACAGACTGAATGTCACACCCTGTAAACACTCTGCAAGCACAGTGTCAGGTTTCCATGGTGGAAGCTCCCAACAGATGGATCGCCTTACCTGAGAGGGCATCCTGTGCTTCAAAGAATGTACTGAGACCCCCTTTCACATATGCCAGACTGCCCTCGCTCTTCTTGTTGGCCTGCCTTTTGAGGGTGGTGACTGCTGTTTTGAGCTGTTCAAAGCTGAAATGAAATTAAGAAACCAAACGTTTGAGACTAGTCACAAGCAGAAAAGAAATAAGATCATTCATTAAGTGTAAAATACTAGGAACGCTGAAACTTATGTTGAGAAGCACACAGATTAATATGAGACCATATGAAAACAAAAAGCTTTCAAATTGTTATCTAAACCTTTCATTTATAATGATGCTTAAATTACAACTATTAAGAGTTTTGTAGCCTTAAAATGATAATCTGAAATATATCCAATCCATAAGAAGTAAATACACGTGTAGATATTTTTATAACTATATATTATATACATGATTTACCAGATATTGGGGTTTGAGTATCTTCTACCTGACAGAAAGACAAGTATTTCCAAGGTGGGACTACTACATTCATTCAAATACTTTGGAACATTGAGCATAATGGTAATCTTACCATGTCAATACTACACAGTTCTTAATAATAAAGTTACATAAAACCTGTGAGTTAATTCACAATTTAAATAACATCATCTAAAAAGGAAGGAACAAAAAGGTAGGTCTCTGCATTTCCAAAACTGATTTCCATTTGAGCTACAAAATCTAGCTGTAAAATTTTAAAAATATTCTTCAATACTATGATGCTCTACACAGAAAACATATTCTAATTCTCAGTTATAATAGAAAAAGCATGGCTGTAATTAAATAAAATTAGAATCATTTTCTACAATGGAAGAATTATTTCAGATATTTGCTTTAAAAATTTATCAAGCCAAATGTATTAAAATACTAACTTTTGTATTAAAATACTTGTGTGTTAAAATACTAACTTTTCCTCATGTTTTCTAGTAATGGTTTTCATCCTAATAAGAAAAATTTATATTAAGGTATATTTTAACAAGTTGACTTACCAAGAATATAAATTTTAAGCAATAAACCATTCATTCATCCATATGTTTTCACTAAACATGTTTTAAATCAACCTTGTAAAGAAGTTATAAATCTCTTATAGAGAACTGATAAACCAATTAGCACACAAAAGAGAATACTGTAACTTGGATATACAAGTAATTTTTGGTTCATTTTAAGTCAAGTATTTACATAATTATAATCTAACTCATCTTCCTTTGCTCTATGGTCAGGAAAAGCAGTGTGTTCTGTATTTCACACCAGAACTTAAAATTCATCAAAATTTGAGTAGGGCAATATATCACCTGCACAAACATCAGCTTAGGTCCCCAGCTAAAAACTCTACAAAATTTTAATGAGTTGCACAAATAATGAAACATGTAGTAATACAAAATTATAGTAAAGAATAAAAGACCTCTAATAATCTCATTTTACAAATAAGGAAGTTGATACCCTGAGATGTTCATAGATTTACCCAAGTCAAAGAACTCATATACCTAAAACTGTTACCATATGCAGAGCCAAACCTAAAACTCAAGTTATGGTACTCAAATTCACATCATTAGCATCTGAGCAGAAGCTCTCAAGAGTTCAGTCTGAAATCCACTAACCTGGTAGTTGAGTGGTTCTCTATAAGGTACCAGGCAGCTGAAAAATTCTCACTTGTAAAATCAGCACTCATTCCATGGAACAGCATTTCTAAGTCCTTCTGAGGAAATTTACTTCTAAGGAGAAAAAGATTTAAAATATATTACAACTGGTACTGCTACCAAAATGTGACAAGAATCATTAAGTGTCTACCTAGTATAATAAATATGAATATAAACAATCACAATTATATGGAATGTTATCAAGAACATCTTTGTATAAACTTTATTAATTTCCTATATCACAGATGATTTTCTATGTAAAAATCATGTACCCCTATGTATAAAAGATAGGAAAAGAGTTGAAATACAGAAATTACATCAATTGAAGAATATAAGATTTAAGAGTCCTTAAAACATAAGATTGAATTCCACTTCCATGTCTAGAATAACCTTTAAGAAAATCTTGTAATAACAACAGGTTAAATATTATCTGCATTTCCCTATCTTGCCTACATTTTTAAGATGATTTCTGGATCAATTCATTTACATATTCATTCAAACACTAATTAAATAGCTATTACAGGTCAGGCTTCATGCTGAGACACCAGCTGTGTCTGAGGGCAAACATACCATAGCCAGACTCTGCCACCCACCCCTGAAGGCTCACAACCTCACAGACAGGCTTTGCTGCTGTCCTACCTCCCGATTTGGAGGATGAAGTCCTTGTTCCACGTTAAATATCTTGGGAGTCATTTCTGCCATTCTAATCCTCAAACCCAAAGCTTCAGTAGCCTCTAAGGGATTATGCTCTCCTGCACACACCATGTTCATTTTTACTCTGTTCCTCTGATTTACTGTCCCATCTAACTGATATGTGTCCCTGAGTCTGATACACTGAAAAAGTCCAACCTGTAAGGTATAAGAATATTATCTTATAGCCCAGAATCTTCAGTTTATTCAGTAAGAAAATTGCCCCCACCCTTTAGCTCTCAGATCCATTTGCTTCCTACTGCCTTTCCTCAGTCTCAAATTGTCCTGCTATCTTTTGCACACATCTTATTGTACATATCTCCCTGTTGGAACCCCACAACGTTTAGATGCCTGACCACTAGGCACAACTTCTTGGAGTCCATTCTTTTCTATGAGGTTTTCTTTTAGTTACAGGGAACAACTACTCCCAAAAAGCCACCTCTACCTTAAGCAAGCACTGTCACCAGAGGGCCCCAGGGAAGTCCCACTCAACAGGCCTAATTGGAGAAGGTCACATGTCCTCATTCTACCCCTTCAAAGACTAGCACAGCTCTTCCCAAGGAAACTTTCCACAAGTCCTCCCTGTCAGGACTCTCACCAAAAGGTCAACAGGTCCAAGCGGCAGAAACAGGTCTCAAGGATTTCCTTTGCAAATCTGCCTAGTGAGATACCATACCACATTCCTCTAGAATGGACCATGTGCTATGTGAGAATCTCACTCTACAGCCTGTTAAACTAACTTTCTTCCCTATGAAGAATCATTGTTATTTTTTATTACAGGGGAAAGAAAGGCTTGCTAAAACTGTGGTAACCAAAGAAGACCAGTGAGATTTTAGGAGGGCTCATATCACCTCAGTTTAGAAACTGAGACTAAATTTAATCTTATACTTTTCCTTACTAATAGCTTCAAAAGTTCAAACATTACAGTCAGAACCTTCTTGAAGCATGTATGTGGCATTCATTAGCTTGCTGGTCATCTTCTCTAGTTAGTGGTCACCATCTGACTAGTACTCTGCATTTTTACAAGTTTAAGGGCCTTTACTCAGTAGTTCTACCTTTACTGTCAGGGAGAGTCTCTCTAGACTACTGCATGAAGGATCAATTGGCTTTATTTAAATATGATCTGTCACCAGTTATAAGGGAAGAAGTAAGTCCATGGCAGCATGCAGACCACATTTGGTCAACCTTGCTTTTATGTGCAGATATTCTATATATTCATTGACTCAGAAAGCTAAATAATCCTAACAAACAAAAAAACCCTACAGAATTGCCTGATATTAACTAAATCCCTCATTATAATGGTGACTATGAACTACTTAATTATAACAAGAATCAATTCCAAACTCACATATTAAGGACAGAGCTAAGAAAAAAAGAACAAAATGTGACACAGAAAAGTCAGACTAAGCATCTGCATCCCTCACTCCAGCCCTGAAGAACTTCAGTTTGTTGGGTGTTTCCCTGCCCATCATCAAAGCAGTAGGTAAAGAGGGATTATTTGTATCAAGAAATTTTATCAATGAGGCTGGGTATATTGCTCAGTGGTAGAGTGTTTGCCTAATATGCACAAGGCCCTGAGTTTGATCCCTAGCACTACAAATGAAAAAATAAAATTACTTCCAGAAAAGACATGTAACACAATGATATCTATCAAGTAAAGCAAAAAAGTATAAAATGTCTCAAAACTAGAGTAGTTATATGCCATGGTAATGTGGCTAAGATCCTATACTCCTCATAAGCCTGACACTTAAACCCTGCTCAACATAGTTAGCTTAAAAATAATTTTTTAATGGGATAAACATGGCATATAAAAAGTTTATATCCTAAACAATAAAATGCTTAAATTGCTGGTACTGAAAAATGTAAATCTATAGTACTCCAGATCTTCCCATTCTATACTCAATATTTAAAATTCACCTGATTTAGTAATATTTTACTTATAGTACACTAAATTGTTATTCTTGCAAACAAAATCTGTTATAGTGAAAGAGAAAGTTCTAATGTCTAGTGAGGACTCCAGGACAAGAGCTATTAAGAAATACACCTTGCCCTCAGAAAGAGCAAGAATGGGCCTGATCATATTGACTGGCATTAAAGAGACACCCATGGGCATGGCGAGACCCCCACAGGTTCAGCACTCTCATCTGTCATCATGTTTATGCCATGTCCACTGGAAGGTCAAGTATGGGAGGAAAGGAAACGGCAGATCCTGAAACTGAGCTTTGGCATTAAGTTGAACAGTGAGGAGGCCCTGTGCTCCTACCAAAGACCTTTATGCTGAGATCTGAAACATCAACTCATCTTGTTAGTTTTTTGTTGTTGTTGTTTGGAGTTTTTTTTTCTTGTTTTTGTTTATTTGTTTGTTTGTTTGTTTGTTTATTTTGGTGGTCCTGAGGACTGGACCCAGGGGTGCACTACTATTGATCTATGTCCCCAGTCCTTTTTATTTTTACTTTTGAGACAAAGTCTTGCTAAATTTCCCAGGCTGGTCTCAAATTCAAAGTCTTCCTGCCTCAGTCTCCCAGGTTGCTGGAATTACAGGCATGCATCACAGCACCTGGCTTACCCCCCACCCCTGCCCCCACCCCCACATACACATAACTCCTTCAGGCTCCCAAATGAGCCAGGCAGAATTTGAAATTACTGGGTCTCTTGGTCCAAATGCCCAAACCCTTATAATCACCCCTCAGACTGAATTATTCTTCAGTGATTTTTTTCTGAAGACCTTAAAATTCTTTTACCAAACTTAACTACAACTATTAAAGTTGGAAAAAGTGCTGAGACCTAAATCAGAAATTGGACATACAGGAAAAAGACAATTTATATTCAGGACAGTGAAATTCTAACACAGAGATGTCAAGTCATTTTGTCCAAATCATACAATTAAAGTCCAGGACTAATCATGCATAGAAATGCAGACACATTGTTAGTAGACATTGTTGGCCAGTGACCTGACAATCACTCTAGGCCCTTTTCACAAGAAGAATCTCATACAGCCTGGCACTTTACCTTTAATGGGTGAGATCAACTATCCCAAGCCAACCCTGTCACTTTCCCCTTATTCTTTATTGAGTGACCCTGTTTTGACCAGTGCTGTCTAAGGAAAAATCAAATAGAGCCTTTTTGGGAAACATCTCCACACTTTTAAGAAGGAGAACCCAGGGGCTGGAGTTGTGGCTCAGTGGTGGAGTGCTTGCCTAGCATGTGTGAGGCACTGGGTTTGATCCTAGCACCACATAAAAATAAAATAAAGGCATTGTGTCTACATAAAACTAAAAAAATACATACTTAAAAAAAAAAGGAGGAGAACCCAGAAGAAATGGTGTCTTTCTGCCTCTGAGTATCATTTGTGTTTAGATTCAACACTAGGAATTGCTAAAGCCATTTTGCAATTATGAAGGAAATCTATTTTACACTAAGGGCAGCAGAACAGCAGGTTTCTCAAATCTCAGTGACATGACTGAATCACCGCCTCAACTAATCTTGGAGTCTGTCATCTGCTTAAATATACTCATATTTTATGCATATACCTAAAAAATGTGAAATAGATGATTAAAAAAAAAAACAGAGAAATGACAATGCCAAGAATCAACAAAGCTGACTGCAAATGTACAGACAACTCTACTCAGTATTTATAATAGGAAGCAGCAGTGATGAGAGTGGCAAGAGGATAGGCTCTGCATTCAATCTCCAAGTTTGCTCCATCTGTCTGCATAACTGTGGGAAAGTTATTTAACTTCTCTTAGGTTCCATTTATTCATAAGGATCATAACACCTTCCTCTTAGGAATGTTTTAAGGATTAAAGTAGATAATGCTCGTGAAAGGCTTAGCAGTCTCTGGCATACAATGGAGGCTCAAAAATGTTATTTGCTGTTACTTTTATTTTTTATACTTGTTAGTTTTTTCATATTCTGCAGATTATTTTTATAAGTATCATTACATTTAATTCTCATCACAAGTGAGTCAAACATTCTCATATTACAGATGAGTAAACACCCTTAAGAGATTAGATGTCAATAATCAAGATTGGACTCCAGTGCTTCATTGTCAAAGAATCAGAGAATCTTAAGATAGGAAATAAAACCATAACTATAAATCTATGAAGATAAATAATCAGGGAAGAGCAGAAGAGAGTTTTGGTCAAAAACAAAGAAAAATATTAATTATTTAATAACAGCAATAGGAAAGGAAGAAGTATTATGTCAACATCGTTAATGAAGCACAGTTAAAACTGAAATGTATGTTCAGAATAACTGGATTTTGGATACTGGATTTCCAAACGAAATGACAGTTCAGTAAAAGCAAGATATAGTCTTGTACTTTCAAACTACTAGAGTTAGAGACTAAAAGCAACATATATACTCCACTATGAAAATCCATGAAATATTTTCAGTAAGGAATCGAAACACATTTTCAGTGGTAGACAACTCTTGCTACCCTTAAAAAATGTTTTCCATTAGATGGCAGTGTAAACTCAGATTTAAACCTTCTAAAGATGATTAGACCAAGCATGTGTATTGAGGAAATACATATAAAATTAACAGGAATGTGCTTAACATATCAGTATTTGCTTTCCAATATGAGAATTGTCTTCAGTGATAACCAACGTAGCATGCAAAGCAATGACATTTGTTGTAAAAACATTTTAGCCACCCACATACATTGAAGACTGGCTGCAGTTTTGGTATTCTGTTTGCATTGAAGAGAACACATTTCCTTCATGTGATATATGGAAGATGGAGGGGCAGTGGGCTTATGTAGCTCTTTGTGTAAATGTTATGTTTAATTTTTTAGCTTTAAATTTTTAGCAACATTGTTGACATTCTGTTATATTAAAGATCATAAGTTTGCTTTGATTGTTTCTTTTTCTTTTTTCAACCTGATAGTTTCTAGACTTAGGTACCGTAACACAACCCACAAATCTATTTTACAAAATTCTAAAAGGTAAATTTATCCAAGGCTTTTCTCTTCTACACTTCTAATAAGGTTTATTTTGCCATCACCTTCTCTTTCTTTAAATATTTCTTTATAAATGTAATGGGAAAACTAGTCATGTTTTTTTTTTTTTTCCTGTTGGAAAGCTAAACTTATTAGAAGAAAATGAGATATGCATTGCCTATAAAACCAGTGTATATGTAAACAGATATTAGTGGTACATCAACTGAATAAACAGCCCTTCCCATATTGTAATTCACAAAAAAAAAAAGGTTATATAAAATGAAGGCAAAAATTCTATTTTTCTACTCTCACTCCCATAGGTGTACTGTCTCCAAAACATTATTTATAAGTTATTCTCTTGTTAGACAAATAAGTATTGCTTTTAAGAAACAAAACTTAGTGAAGTTTTTCACTTAATATGAACCTGGTTTTAATTTCTTTTTTCAGTTTAAATAGTTTGTCTCCATTACAATTGAAGCCATGCAGACAGCATATATATCTGTGACAATAACCATAATAAATCAGAAATATGGACCTTTTACAAGCAAATCCTAGTCTCAATTCAAAGTGAAGTTAGTTTTTCTGAGCAATTAGTAACACTTTTATAAGTATCATGGCACCATGTGTGCAAAAACATCAGTTAAAAATTTAGGAATATGAAGGACTTTAACAGTCAAAGGTGGCCAATAAATGCCAGTTGTTAAAACTTGTGGCCTGAAAGATGACAGCATGCATGCTGGGTCAGCCAATAAAATATTTATTAAACTCTAACTCACACCAAAAAGCAACAAGGAAACTATATTGTATTACTCTCACTTTGCTTTTTCATATTCAGATGAACCAACCACAGCACCACAGGGCTCCTCATTGTTCCACTTTGTGAACTGGGCTGTCAGCTGTAGAGAATTTCCATAAACATTCACATTGCAATTACTAGGAGCTGATTCATCTTCCAAAGGCTGCCTCTCCACTTTAATCTGATAATTCATCAGGATCACAGTTGAGTATTTTATAGTAAGCATTTATAATTCTTCAAACCTTCCAAATCAATACCTTTCAACCAGCAAATAATACTAAAACCCTGTTTTCCTTATTTAATGATGTTTAAAGAAAATGGGTCATCTTCAGCCTTTTAATTATAAAAGAAACTCCTCAATGGCATTAGTTAAGAGAGATAAAAGAGAGTAAGAATTCTTTTTTTTTCTTTCTTTTCTTTTTTTGTTTTTTTTTTTTTTTTTTGAGACTAAGGATCCTGATCTGAATGAAACACTCTTCTCTACAGAGACCAAAGCTTTTATCTAAAACATATTAAGTGAGTTAGGAAAATGAAACCCATACCAGCATTTTACAATCTGTCTTTCCCTTCCTTTTCTTTCTTTTTTCCTCTAAAACAAGATTTCTCTATTCAGGCTGTGGTTATAGCTCAGTGGTAGAGTGTACACTTAGCATGGGCAAGGCCCTGGGTTTGATTCTCATCACTACCAAAAAGGAAAAAAGATTTCTCTTTTTGAGGTAAGAGTTCAATAAACCAAATGTAGCTTTCTTGTCGCTTTCTTTAAAAACTAAAAGAAAGGGAAGCCTGGAAAGCATTTTTCTGACCAAAAACATTCTCTCCTCTTGGTTTCTATACTCTTTCTACTTTCATTTTTTTGCTTACTGGCACCTCTAGTAGCTCTTTGGGGAGGAAAAAAAAATGGCAAAAGATTTTTAGACAAAAAGATTACCAGATGTCCTTTCATCCAGGCTCAGGAGTGCCTTCCTAATGCTCTCTCTGATGCTATGGGGGGATCTGTGCCTTTCTCTGTAACTGACAATTTTGCATCTCTGTTAGAGACACAGAGGGTGTAGAGCTCTGACAGTGACAGGAGGGATTCCATCCTCAGAAACAGGGAAGGTGAGGATATAACTGGTTACCAGTAGAAGTATCTCATTTTACACCTTTTATTATTCCTCACTGCCTATTATATCTCTCCCAGAACACTCCTTTTAACTTTTTTTTTTTGCATTTTATTGGTTCTCCCACTAATTAATGATTTAAATAAAAGCTCACTATTCATTTTATGTGAGAGTCGAGATTTTACCTTTTTCAAAAATTATTCTTTAATATTTTACATTATCTAATAATAAGGCAAATGTTACTGAAACTTGAGCAATACCTTAAAATAAACATTTACTATTACCCCCATTTAAGTACTTCTTCAATACGTGTACATTAGATTACTTAAGATTTTAATATAATTCATTACCCTATAATTTTAAGTCATTAAAGAGAGGTTCTTGGGGTGGGCAGTGGTCTACTTAGGAGACTGAGGCAGAAGGATCACTGGAGCCCAGGAATTTGAGGTCAGCCTGGGCAACAGAGTTAGAACCCCTCTTTTCCTAAGCAATGAAAATGTATGTCCCTAAGAATCACAGTAATAATGAACTGACATTCACCAGCCACCTGCTATGTTCTACATGTTTACCTGCATTTATTCACTGAAGCTCCACAACAGTCCTAAGAAACAGGTAAACCATTGTGCACCTGAGGAAACCGAGGCAAAGAGAAGCTAAATAACTTCCTCAAAGTCATCCTGCTAGTAACTGGTGGAGCCCAGTTTCAAGTCAAAGAAATTTAGCTCCAGACCAAACTAGACTACCTCTCAGAGAAGAAAGATAAGAAAATTTTAAGCAAGCTCATCATTTGTAGTGCCATAATTCCTTACTGCCATAACCGATCTTGCCAAAGGATTATCTTAAAACATATTAAGAAAGAGTGTCATTAGAGACAGACATAGTCAAAAGGTAAGAGGACATGAGACAACAGAACAAATAAGGCAAGTCTCTATGCCAAAATAAAAGAGGAAGACAACAATTTTATGAGAGTGAACATCCAACTGAATCCTAATTTTGCTCACTGGCTAAACCTGTAAAATGTGTGCAATGCCTCTGCATTCCTTTGGGCCACATTACAAAGATGCCTTTTAGTCAAGCAAGAGCAGCTAGAAGGGTCCTTCTGCTCCAGACTTCTACAGCCGTCTTGGAAAGAACCTGCCTGGTTCTCAAAATTGTTGAAGCAGGTGTGCTCAAATACACACCTGGCCAAAAAAAGAAAAAAATGGCTCTTGTCATTCTTCTCTAGATTGTCTAGATCTTTAAATTCTTAATTAATAGGACACTAAAATCCTTAAAACAGCTATAGAATGACCCATACTGCCCAAGTGCTTCAAAGATGTTACCTTGAGGAAGTCCAAGCTCACTAAAAGCTGCCAAGCCCCATGGTTTTTCAACACATGATATGTCCCCAAAATAAATGCCCTGCCTCCCTCTCACAGGACAAACCCAATAGTGAAAAAACAGCTTGTTGTTTAATTACTAATGATATTCTAGTTTAGGCTTGAAGGTTGAATATTTATAGTTTAGTGGAGAATCCTCCCCAATCTTAGAGAAACCTAATGGCTAAAGTATTTATAGAACAAACTTGTTGCCTTCTCTGAGTGTTTATGAAGCAACTCTAAAACATTGTGGTAGGGAATTAAGAAAACAAAATTCCAGAATTGGTTATGAAATATCATGAAAAAGATCATCTACCAGGCATAATTCTGATGACTGAGGTGAGACTTATGAAAGGAATTACAACTGAAATAAAAAAACATTTGGGAGATGGGGTCGTGGCTCCGTGGTATAGCACCTGCCTAGCATATGTGAGGCACCGGGTTCAATCCTCAGCACCACATTAAAAAATAATAATAAAATAAAGGTATTGTAGCCATCTACAATTAAAAATTTTAAAAAAACACTTTGGATCTAATTATTCTAAAATATTTCTAGAAACATCAAGTAAATGGACAGATTACAAATTCTATCTTCACGTTAAATAGCACCTAAATATTTAAACTTACCAATTCCGGATAATATATTAATGCTCACATCATTAAAAATATTAGCTAGGAGTTGGGGATATAGTTCATGGTAGAGCTTGCCTAGGTAGCTTGTTAGCAACATTGATCTAGGCTAGACATCTTGCCTATAACGTGCAAGACCCTGGGTTCAATCCTTAGTACCACAAAAAAAGGTATGTTATTAAAATACTAAGACTTTTGTTTGCACAAAATGCAAATTCAAAAAAACTAAAGAGGTAGGTAGTTTTGTCAAAAGTTTAAACTAACTATAACATTTACCCTAGCAAAGCAGACAAAATTTCAGAAAACAGCACATGTCTCCAAACAATTGAGTTGTCTTCGACTATGCTTCCAGACACTTCTAGAATTTGACTCTCCTTAAATAAAAAAAATAAAAAAACTTTCAGCAAATGAAGAATAAAGAAAACCAAAGACAAGATGATACTCACTTTTCAATTTCAATGCCAAGAGGATTTGCAGGACGGAGGGACAATGGAGGAATTCCTTTATTCCTGTCAGTACGCATATCATAATAATTCATTTCATCGACCCACACAGCAGACTGATCCAAAATGCCTACAAACATGAGGAACACAGCCTTAATAAAATAAAAACTCCCCCAGGTATTTTCTAGGTCTTGCTTTATTGCTTTACTTTTTAAAGACCTACTACCAAATGCCTAAAAGATCAAATTTAAAAGATTTGAAAGCCCTATAGCTTGGATTCTTTTTAATGGCTAGTGGATTAATTAAAAATACTAAGAATTTTTAAAAATCAAAAATAACACATTAGTTTATGAGTTCATTGTATATTTTTCAACAGAGAATACAAATTAAAATTAAGCCTCTAAGAAAAGTGTTCTGCAAAAACAAATGTATTTTACAAATAACAAATGCTACAATTATTTATGCATTGCTAAATATTATTGATTTTATTCAAGAGAATATTTTGGAATCATGTAAACTTTTGGAAAATGGCTGAAAAATACTTAAGACAGAAAACATTCAAATTAAGCATTAATACAATGAAAAGCTTCTTGCTTATGATAATTTCAAAAATTATCACATATATATGCAATTATATTTAATATTTTGAGTTTCTTCTTAGTTCTACAAGCTACCTAAGGACATTTCAATGAAGATGAAATCCAAAATGTTTCTTAAATAGTTCTTAAAAACTCTCAAGAAATCTCTTTCATATTTTCTTCTTTTCTATTAACATGGACATGGCTCTCTTAAATAGTTATACAAAAACAACATATCCCATGCTTTTTTTTTTCCTATCAGGGATTGAATCCAGGGACACTTAATCACTGAGTCATATTCCAAGCCTATTTATTTATTTATTTATTTATTTATTTATAATCTTGAGACAGGGTCTCACTAAATTGCTTAGGGGTTTGCTAAGTTGCTGAGGCTGGCTTTGAACTTACAATCCTCCTGCCTCAGCCTCCAGAGCCACTGGGATTACAAGTATAAACCACCATGCTGAGGCTCCACGTTATTTTTCATTCTTTTTATTATTATCAATGTTGCAGTTGTCCTGGGTGATAAAGAACAGTACATTTTTTTTCTATATTACACTAAAACCAATTAGTCAAATGCAACAAAATATCCAACAATTAAATCAATCAAATACATCCAAAGAACACATGGCTTGTGTAATGGAAATAACTAGGTTATTCTGGGAAAACTAACTGGACATGAACCCTGTGAGCAAGACATAACTCTGAAAATAGCATTTTCCTTAATGTGACTAAACTCTTCAATCATTCATTTCGGCACAGGACTTAGCAGTTACTACTCCAAGGACCCTGGGTTTAACAAGGCAGAAGCAAAGAGCCAGGGGCACAGAGCAAGCTGCACCCACCCCTGCAGGAAAGCTGGGAAGGCTGGGGAGGTTGGAGAGGCTTTTCTGATAGAGGCTGTTTGAATACCAGGCAAACTGTCACTGCATGACTCTTTGTGAACCTACTAATTCAGCACCCACAGTTCTGCCAGGACACAATGGGGACTCTGTCTGAGATTATGCTTAAGTCCAGTCACTCTGGAGCACAGGTCAATAGACCATTACATCTCCTCTGTGCTAGGTCCTGGGCTGGGCATTCTAGAATAAAATTAGTATTTTTACCTACTGTTTTTTAATCTGCTATATAAACATGCTATAAAATGATGCTGAATTTAGATGGACATCATTACCCTAAGTACATGTATGAAGACATGAATGGTGTGACTCTACTTTGTGTACAACCAGAGATATGAAAAACTGTGCTCTACAAGTGTGATATGAATTGTAATGCATTCTGCTGTCATATATGACAAATTAAAAAAAAAATATTAAGTTCCTCCAAAAAACTGTGAATCAGGTTCCTACTTTAATTTCACACTTTTAAAGATGTTAAATAAGTACCTAAAAATAGAACTATATTTTATATGACATATGTATGTACATGTGCACATGTAAATATATATGGATTCAACTTTGAAAATTTCTTTAAATTCCTAAAAGGAATTTTTATTTATAAAAGGGATTTATATATATATGAAAAGAATTTGCAGAGAATAATACTGAAGAAAGGTTTTACAATTTAAGATAGAAAACAAAAATAATTTGCAAAAATATTTACTTTTCTACAGAGGGAACTACTGCATGGTTTTAATTATGCCTTACTTTATATAAATATTTAGGTATTAATGAAAGACATTAACAGTGTTACAAAAAGGAATATGAAATTACTCTTATTTTAGTAGGGGAGATAGATTTGCACATAAATAATTATGAGAACAATCATTTAACATTACTAATTTTCTGTGTAAGGAACTATGTTAAGCACTTTAGATTTATATTCTAACTCACCCAATGCTATGAGGTAGGTAATATTATCATTATACTTTTACCCACAAAGAAACTAGGCACTGAAGTCAGCTAGTAGCTAGTAGTAATAATAACCCATGTTAGAATTCAAGTCTGTATCCTTAGACTAAGTTCTTAACCACCGCTAATGTGTGGAAGCAAGAGATGAGTGTGTTAAAAGAATTATGTGAACTGCTATGAGATACAAAGAAGAATAATTATTATTAATTTGGAGGACTAAAAACTGATCCAAGTCAGGAAATATTTCTTCTGGGACTGGAAGGTAGGGAAAATGAAGGGAAAGGAAATATTACTTAGAAAATACTATGCTTACCTGGCCAAATAAGAAGCAATTTTACCTTGAATCTTAACAGTTTAAAAGCAATATCATTGTATTCACAATCTAAGAACCAAAACTGGTATGACAAAATGTAAAATGAACAGATTTTGTTAATAACTTGGAATAATATTCCTCTCATGAGCATCAGATCTGCCTTAGGTTTTATTGACTTTTAGCTCAGCAAATGGGCAATTTTTTCCAAAAATTATGCTTTTTACCAAGATCCTATTCCTCTCAAAATTAACATATACTGAATTGAAGTTGATGAGATATGAAAGTAGGTAAATTTTAAACTAATCTATCATTTAAATTTTAAAAGAGAAACTAATTTTTATTTTCTCCTTTAGAATAAAATCACTAAGAGTTTTACCTATTTTTTCAGGTTTTAATAGCTTGAAAGAAACTGTTGAGGTTCCTTTGCCACCCGATTTGGTTGTGACAATAATGTCCCCTTTATCGTTTTTGGCTTGTCCCACTCGACATACTATTTTACTCGCAGACATCCATTCAGCCGTCAAAAGGCAATTATGTCCACAAATTGTCAATCCTGAAAATAAAGGAATAAACAGAACAATGATAAGACCTTAAACATGTCTTACATGAAAAAAAGAAATAGCCTTTCCTTGTTCAATAGTTATTTTTATTATTAAACATACTTAATGTTATTTGTAAGTTTACTGCTGTATATGCTGATTTTTTTCCACTCTGTTTTTTCTCTAGAATTTAAGACTTCTTTTAGACTATATTTCAGTTTCTTGCATTATCAAAGGAATTAATAAATAATGGACCATAATTACATCCAGGCATTCCAGACTACTTAGACTATGAGAATTTTAAATTATTTTCAGAAATGTTAAAAAAGAAAATTATTTCTAGTACTAGAAGTTTAATTATTGATATATGCTTTTCAAGCATATTAATAAATTTGTAGATCATTCCCTAAAACATTCTATATTAACCCATCTTCCTGAAAAGCATCAGTAAGGGCTTTTTCTAGTGTTCAATTATGCCTAGTGTTACAGAATAAACTAATCTGAGTACTTTATTAAAGAATAAAATATTACAGAATATCTTATTTATTTTAAAGACATCCCAGAGTGTGATAAACCTAGTGAAATGTTTCAGGCTTTACTTGATTACTCTATCATTTCTTATATCTGCCTAACAGTTCCTACACTGGTAGTTTATGCTGCCTTAGTATTTTCCTAATAAAACTCTAACTACATTACTTTTCCAATAAACCAACATCTGCAAAACGTCAACTCATATCTATCACCTCCCTCACAGACAGGATATAAATTAAATATTTAGCAATAAGCAAACAATACTGTCTATTGGAAGACCGTAGTGAGTAGGGCAGAACACCAATCCTGGCTAGTCAGTCTTCTCATAACTTACTTTCTTTACATTTTTCATTTCCACAATGAGAGGAGGTAATAAATATTTATGGAAAAAATAAACCAGAATGTATGTGGCATAAATGCAGCAATTTCACACTTTTTTTTCCTTCATTATTTAACTTTATATATTGCTAAGCAGGCAAATTTGGCAATTGCTATGTTTATTTTTGGGGTCCCCCCCATCAGATACCAGGGAAACCTCAACCAATGGCAAATTTGGTTTTAAAAACAAAGGGAGAGATTCAAGCCATCTTTTCTTATAACTTAAATGACTATTTAGCAAGAAGGTTATATTAACCATAAAGAAATTCTAAAAGATACATTTTTAAGACATTTATATTGTTTGAAGTAAAGAATTTTGTGTATTCCCCTACAATATTTATTGCATTATTTATTCATTTATAGAGAAACTTGTTTTCCTAATGACATTCAAAGGTTTCTTTAGGACTAAATTTTCTGAAGATATTTTTTAATGTACTCAAAATTCAAAGCTTTTTTTTTTTTTCAAAATGAGAATATCCTTGATATCATTCCTGATAATCAATTCTTTTTTTTTTTTTTGGCACTAGAGATTGAACTCAGGAACACTCGAACACTGAGCCACATCCCCAGCCCTATTTTGTATTTTATTTAGAGACAGGGTCTCACTGAGTTGCTTAGCACTTCATTGTTGCTGAGGCTGGCTTTGAACTCAGGATCCTCCTGTCTCACCCTCCCGAACAACTGCAATTCACAGGCATGCGCCACCCTGCCAGTTCTAATAATAAATTTTTGTTACGAAAAGTTTAAATGATTTAAAAAATTGAAAACTTCTCCAAAACCAACTTCCCAAAATAAATAGAATGTACACTTGCTCTGGTAACTTTATACATGTGTAAATCAGTCTATATGTTTTTGAAAACGAGCAGAAAATGTTTTCATTTATAATGTACTTACAAATGTGGTAGATATTTTGATATTTCAATATAACTTCAAGTCAATACATACCTTAATGTTTTTAAATTTTATGATATCAAAAAGATTCATATGATCTTAAACAGTAACTTTTCAGAAAAGAAAATAACAATAAATGTCAGAGCATAATGCAAAAACATAAACAGTATTTTCATTTTTTAAAAAAGGTCATTCCTGATATAAGTTCACTGCTAGAGAACTATCCCATGATTAAAACTGAGCAAAGCAGCAAATTTCAGATATCCTATACTCATAAAGTCTTAAAAATCATTTACATGAGCAACCATGAAGAACAAGGTGGCACAAAACTATCTGTAGAATAATAGCTTACTCACCTGCTCATAGCTGTTTTCAAGGTTCCTCTGATTTAATATCTGATTTATATTTTTACCCCAAAAATTAATAACCAGCAAAGAATTTACACATAGATTCCAACAGATCATTCTGAATATCATGTAATAAAAAATGATTACAAGATCTACAAGCTTCATTTCTTAGGCATATTTTTGCTAACCTACAAAAAGCTAAAAAATCTGCTCCATGATATAAAATAGCATTTTAAAAAAAGAAACTTGTAGAATTCCAAGTAAAGTACTTTTATAATGTTTTACTTGGCTAGTGTAGAAATCATCTGAGTTAAAAACACTTAAATTTAGCAGTTTAAGTTGGCTTTTTAAAAAAAAAAATGGTTTCTTGGCAATACATGAAGCAGGATGAAAGCTGAACTAGCAAGGTTTATGAAAGTAATATACACTTGGTCAAATAAGAATAGCATTGCCTGAAGCTAAATCAAGATTAAAATTTACATAGGCTTGTAACTATCATGTTTTGGCACTCACAAAAGAGTGCCAGTTAAAATTTTAGACATAACCTCCACCTATATGGTATATTTCCATGCATTCTGGGGTTTTTTTTTCTATTTGAGCAAAGAAATATCTGAATTCAGCTATGTCCAAAAAAAAAAAAAAAAGCCATTGAATTAGACTATCTTTGTAAGAAAAATTTAAAGTGATCTTTAATAAAGAATCAAAAAATATAATTACAGAAAACAATATAAAATGAGATAAAATGTATTTAAATAACACTAGCAAAAGGAATTAACTGGTAAGTATAAAACTCAATTGTTATTTTACAGTGCTGAGCTCTGATTCACTTTCTTTTCAAAGGGTTTTCCAGATGACCAAAAACCAATCCATTAACCAGAAGTTACAATGCAGGAAAGTTAAGTTCCAATTCAATCTCCAGGACTTTATCAGTAGTTCCCTCATTGGTTAAGAACTTAGTCCAGAGAATGCTTAAGTCTAGAATAATTTTTTATGTGGCAAGTCAGCATGTATATTCAGTAGCACATACTGGGGTCTTTTTCTTCTTCATTCTGAATGCATCTCTATACCCTCATCTGGAATTCAGACAAATAAATGTTAACTGGACATAAAATCATATATAAAATTTGCTCTCTACCCTGGCTACTGCTGATACCCATTTAATATTTTTTTTAAATGATGGTTTGCCTCCATTCTTTAGCAATCTAAGCATAAAAGATGAAGTCAAAGCAACAAGCAAAATCTCAGCTGTGGAAAACTTCTCTGAAGGAGAAGTTTTGAAAGCCAATATAGATAAGCTTTGATAAAATAATGGTATTCATAGAAAAATCAGACAACCAAATATTCTTTAATTTTTATTTAGATCATTCTACAGAGATCAAATGATGTTTTCCTGTCACCTTCACTATTTTAAAATAACACATCTTGCTTTAATAATACAACATAAAAATCCATCTACCATGGTATAGCATAGAATCTTTGCCCTTACCGATAAGGTCAGTGGGGCCAGTCCCCAGGTTTTCTCCTCTAATGGTGACCTTTGTCCATGGTATTCCTTCATTTGGAGAAATGCCTGTCACCAGAGGGGGTTGTCGAGATCGAGACATTATGTTTTGTACAACTAATTGGTGACCCAGTTACAGAAGTAATCTATTAAAAGAAAAAACGATTGTGTCAACTGAAATATGCATTGAGTAAAAACCTAAGAATTGTACACATTCAGTACTAAAATATAAAAAAACAGTCTAAAAACATGTAGTTTTGAATTTTTCAGCCTATCAGTTCATATCTAATGAACATTAAGGTTTCTAAGGAATCTAGTTAATACAGCAAGATATATCAGAAAATTAGCCCTTAGTTTAGTTCTAAGCATTTTAAACATAATGGCAGACAGAATCTGAATGTCACTATTTAGTTCTATGCCCCTGAATTCCAAATATATATAGTAGAAATTATTCTGGATTCCATACTCTGTTCTCAAAGTTGTTTAAGAAAGATATTCTGATTAATTATAATCATAAAAATTGGGGCTGGGGTTGTGGCTCAGAGGTAGAGTGCTTGCCTACCATGCGTGAGGCACTGGGCTCAATCCTCAGCACCACATAAAAATAAAAAAATAAAGATATTGTTTCCACTAAAAAATAAATATTTTTTAAAATAATCATAAAAATTAAAATACACTTATATTCTCATAAGTGTATTGAATTTAACTTTGTGTTATATGCAGTAGAATAACTCTTTTGTAATGTGTTGAAATTTATATATTGATATTTTTACAAAACCTATAGTGTAGATGTATAGGCAGAAGTACAAATTTGCTAAATATAGCCAGAGTTGGTAAAAGTGCAGTTTGTGGGGTCAAACAGTCTATTCCAATCCTAATTTACTAATTCTGTTCTAAACCTTTGGGGGTTTGTGAGCAAAATAAAGCTAATAATTGAATCTGTTTCATATACACATTGTAAAGATTAGATAGAATAATCAGTGAGAACTCCCTTGTTATATGTACTATGAAGTCAGACATTCTGGCCCTTGTCTTCATCTTGCACAATCAGACAAGAGAATTAGAAGTTTAATTTCTAAAGAAAACAAGTAAGAAGACCAGGACTGAGGGACCACCAGCACAAGAGGAGTGTGAAAGGGGTGGCAAAAGCTAAAACCAGGAATTAGTGTGAATTTGTGCAAGCAACCTGAAGGACTCCTCAGGACACACGACTACCAACAGGTATGTGAGCCCTCCGCACCCAGCTCCACCCTGTCCAGGAAACAGAGCCCTAGGAAAAAAAGACCCAAAGATTCTGACACATAAGAAAGGATCTCTTGCCCTCATACTCCTAAGGGAAAAGCTGTTTATGGGCAACCTCTGCCCACATACATACTAAATCAAATCAACTGTCAACAGTATCATTATAAAATATGAAAGGACAACCAAAGACAAGATAGAGAGTCAAGAAATATATTTAAAGTAGAGATGGAAGAAAAACAAAAACAAGATCTAGAAGAAACAGATACTACAGGTATTTATTATATGGGCTGAACTGTCATCCCCTACCCATCACCAAAATTCATCATGTTAAAATCCTAACTCCCCCCTATATCTCAGAATATGACTATATTTGGAGATAGGTCCTTTAAAGAGGTAATATAGGTGAAAAAAGGTCATTAGGGTGAACACTAATCCAATTGACTGGTATCCTTATAAGAAATGCAGAGAGGAAAGATATGCACAGAGGGAAGAGATGCACAGAAGGAAGATCATATGAGGACACAGGGAAAAGATGGCCATCTACAAGCCAAGGAAAGAGGCCTTAGGAGTCACAACCCTTCCCATACCTTGATCTTCAGAAATGTGAGAAAATACATTTACTTATGCTAGCTCTAGCTAGCCTATGGTCCATTGGTAAGGCAGCCCTAGTTAAATACAGCAGGTAAAAGAAAGTGGGGTGGGGAGACAACAGAAGTATTATAGAATTTGATCAAAAATTAACATCTGCTGAGAGAAAATTTTTTGATATCATGAAAAGGAAACAATACAAAAATAAGTGCTCTTTTAAACCTTCAAAAAATTCAAAAGAAACAAGGTTTATAGAGCGCTAGTATTGAAGGAATTGACCACTGGTTTAACCAAAGTTGTAATATGGCCACAATCGGCAGATAAGTGTTTGGGAACAGGAGAGAGTAGTAAAAAGGGAAAGGAAGTGATCATATTTTATATACTATAATAGGAGATTGATAGCTAATGTCTAAAATTAACTATCAGGAAATGGCAGATTAGACCAAAAAATACATAGAAATTAGGAGATGAATGCCAGAAGAGAGCTAAATGAGTTTGGATTACATTATATAATCAGGTGTTTGGCTTTAGTCCCTATTTCTAGGAAACAGATTTTAAATCCTTGGAGTTTTCAAGTAATTGAGAGTGGCTTTGTAATTCATGAGTCCCTCAGACCACACCTGTATTTATACCAGTAAGATTTGATTCTGTCCATGCCAGAATGACTATGTGCTTAGAAAGCTGGGATTTTGAACAAAGTAAAAATACCCGACTTCCTCTGGAGAAATGGCTTAGGATAAAATGTAATCATCATGCCCATTTCTTTAGCTCAAACAAAACAACAGCATTACCAGTCATTCAGAAAAAACAATGAGACAATTCCAGGTTCTCTTGAGTCCTGTCCTATCCCATAGCAGCCCCTAAATCAAAAAGAATTTTTCTATCAGAATCAAAAGCCAACCATTCGGGATGGGGTTGTAGTTCAGTGATAGAGCAATGATAGTGGAATGTTATGATCATTATTATCCGAAGTACAGGAATGAAGACACGAATTGGTGTGAATATATTATGCATACAACCAGAGATATAAAAAATTGTGCTCTATATGTGTAATAAGAATTATAATATAATGCATTCTGCTGTCACATATTTAAAAAAAAAAACCCTTAATATTTTGAGTCAAGCTTAAATGTTACCTTCTGTAAGAGAGACCCTTCTAGACTCCTTTCATGATACTGCTACATAATTATAATAGTTACTAGGTTAAATCTGAGATGATGTATTTGTATCTTTTTGACAACACAAAATGTTTAATCGATTCTATATTTCCAGTATCTGTCATGGAGTTCCTGATATAAAATAAACATGCTCTACGTCAAGAAAAAAGTCAAAATTTTCTAAACATTTTATGCTATCAAAGGAATGCTGGAATAAGGAACAGAAGTAACAATACAGGATAAGAAAGGGGAGAGAGGAATTAGGAAAAATATTAGAAGTGAGATACATATTTTTTAAAAAGTCATGAGTAAAACATACAAATATTGTAGCATTAAAATGAATAAAATATTCAGGATTAAATTTTACAGAAGAGATACAAATCACTGTTGAAAGAAACTAAAGACCTAATAAATGAAAAGGCATAGATAGGAAAATTTAATGTAGTTATTTTATGTCTCCTGTGGAGAAATGTTTGTTTGATCCTTTGCCCATTTCTAAAATCAGAGATTTCTCTGCAGGAGACACAAAAAATGGCCAAAAATCACAGGAAAAGATGTCCAATATAATTAGCAAATGGGGAAATGCAAATCAAAACTAGAATAAGATACCACTTCATATCCATACTCTTATGGCTATCAAAAAGGCTCAGTAATAATGAATTGGCAAGAAAATGGAAAAATTGGAAGCTTGTATATTGCTGGTGGGAATGTAAAATATGCAACCACTTTGGAAAATAGTTGGCAGTTCCTCAAAAAGGCTAAACATAAGATTTACTATAATCTCACCAATTCTACTACTAGGTAGAGAAAAAAAAAATTGTGTATCCATACAAAAACTTCTTCTTGAATGTTCTTAGCAGTATTAATAATAGTCAAAAAGTAGAATCAATCCAAGTCCACTGCTTGATAAAAGTATATATATAAATGTGGAACATTCATACAATAGAATATTATTTGGCATTAAAAAAAGGAAAGAAATTACTGATACATGCTGCAAAATACATTAACATTGAAAATATTGTGCAAATTAAAAGAAACCAGTTGTAAAAGACCACATATTTAATGATTCCATTGATGCACAAATATCTGGAATGGCAAATCCACAGACAGAAAGATTAGCAGTTACCAAGGGGTCAAAAAAAAAGGAGTATAGGTGGGAGAAATAGAGACTAAGTACTTATGACTATGGGATTTCTTCATGTAGTGATAAAGTTCTAAAATTTATTGTGGTGATGGCTGCACAGCTTTGTTGTATTAAAGAGCACTGAACTGTACACTTTAAATGAGTGAATTTCACAGTATGTGAATAAAGCTGTTTTAAAAAAAAAAACAAGTAAAAATATTCTCAGGTAAGTTTCAAGATGAATATAAAGGTTACAATACTACTTCAGAGAACTTCAAAATCACTCAACTGGACACTCAATTTTCATCTAAGAGAATACTCAGTCCAATAAGCCCAAGGAAGCTGAAACACAAATCAGAAAACCAAAGTCCTAATCTTATGGTTCAACAAGTTAGCATATGGAGTTTTGAGCTAAGAAACCAGCTAAAGAAAAAGAAAGAAAATCCTGGTGAGGAGGAAGCCACAGGAACAGAAAGAGTATTACAAACTTCCTGGTCTGACCCTGATCTGCATGTGCACAGGATGTAGAGCAGAGAGTCCAGAGAGCACAGTAGAGAGCAACAACTTGAAGCACAAAGACAGAAGCAGTGATTTCAGCTGCTGCACACCACAGAGAAGATAAGAGTTTAAAGTTTGAGTAAAACCAAGTTAACAATGCCTGTGAAATATATATCTGGCTTCCATCACAGTTTCTTTTCTTTTAGACACAAAACAATAAGTTTGTGAAGAAGTGATAGGACAAATGAATATCTGGACTAGGGTAGTAAATTCTAGGAATGTGACTAGGAGATATAGGGGGGCCAGGGTAGAAGTTAGTGCAAGATAAGTGTTACTTTGAAGAGTTTTGAAGAATATATATATATTCATATTCTTCAAATACATATATATATGTGTGTGTGTGTGTGTGTGTATGTGTGTGTGTGTGTGTGTGTGTGTGTATTAACAGGAAATATTTAATTTTCCTATCTCCACTTTCCATTTTTACAAACTGAATGAAAAAACTTTAATATATTACAAAATATCTGTACATAAAAAG